GTCTCCTGGGGGCTCAGTAAATAAGAAAATATTGGTAAATATTGTAACCAATGGTGGCCTTTGTACACTTTGGAAGATCAGGAAAAATGGCCTAAAAATGGAACTTTGAACTATAATACATTGTTACAATTAATGTTGTTTTGAGGTGGCAAGGAAAATGGGATGAAGTAATGTATGCACATACGGTTTTCACTTTAAGAAATCATGCAGAGTGACAGACTGAATGCAAAATTAATATAGCTCTGCCAGATCCCTTAATTTTGGCTTTGGAAAAGGACAGGGAAAAACTGAAAGTTAAGCTGAAGAGATGTTGTTTAGCCTGTGATATTGGGGGAATGATGTTTAAAGTTAAAAAACAGTAACCAGGAAGATAGGTTGGAAAATTATGTATCACAGGTACCTCCGAGAGGAGCACCCTCTGCATCTTGTCCTATCTGATATTGATAAGGAGGCACAGATTGCTGTAACTGGCAACAAGTGGCAGATTCACATTCAGAGTTAAGAAAGGGTTAAACCAGAAGTGCTGGTGCAGAGAAAGGCATCTGCAGCCCCTGCAGAGCAGGGTGAGCAGCTGTGAGAAAAAAAAAAGGGAAAACCAAGGGGGAAGAGAGGGGAGCAGAGCTTGGGCAGCTCCTGTGTTTGAGCATAGGATGGATGCTGGGGCAGGCAAACAAGTGGGAACAGACATGTTGACAGACAGGACTGAGGGGTTGTTGAATAAATCTGGACCGGGGTGAAGGAGGAATCATGGAGAGCATACAGGAATCGGGAACAGGTAGAAAAGAAAACGCTGGTTCGTGCTATAGCCACGGCTGCGGTGGTTGCTTTGAAACTGGTAGAGGAAAAATGTCAGGTGGAGGTGGGGGAGTGGGCTCTTCTTCTGTGGAAGCGGATCGGTGTGCGTGCTATGGAGAGTTTGGACACTGGAAGTGAGACTAACCGGGGGGGGGGGGAGTGCCATGGGGTGGCTCCGGTGACTGAATAGGAACTAGACTGACAGGGACCTGGGGAATCTACCCTAGCAGATCCACTGGTTAAATTAAAACTAGGGACTAGAGGAAATAAAGTGGAATTTTACTGGATACAGGAGACACTTATTCGGTCTGAAATCAGAGAAAAGAATTTGTTACAGATGTGGGAGCTACTGTCCACGAAGAAAAAAAAAAAGAAAAAAAAGAGGCATTCTTTCTGAAACCCTTAAAGTACAAATTGGGAAAACAAACAGGAATGCATAAATTTTTATGCATGCCAAATTCTCTAAAATCTTTATTAGGGTGAGAAGCAACATTTAAAGAAGGCAAAATGGAATTTAGAGTTAAAAACCAATCAAATAATTGCAGTTTTGAGTTTATCTTTAATTCAACAGAAAAGAAAAAGGAGGACATCCTTGAAATAGAAGAAATCCTTAATCAGGTATATTTGGGAGTATGGGCATCTGAAATTTCAGATAAGGCAAAAAATGCTTTGCCTGTTAAAGTGGAAAAAAAAAAAAGGGGGGAGCTGCCCAATTAGAATAAAAAAAAATCCCTTAAAATTAGAAGATCAAAGGGAATCAAAAAATCATTGATAAATTTTAAAATATAGATTATTAATTGAATGTGAATTGGAATATAATACTCCTATCTTGCCAGTAAAGAAATATGATGGGAAAAGCTGCAGATTGGTTCAAGATCTTAGGGCAATCAACAAAACTGCAGAGGATATTCATCCAGTAGTAGCTAATTCGTATGACTTATTGACTAAATTGAATAATAATCAGAAATGGTTTGCCATCCTGGATTTGAAGGATGCTTTCTTTTGCTTACCATTGGCCAAAGAAAGCCAAAATTATTTGGTTTTGAATGAGAAAACCCTGACACAGGAAGGGAAACTCAATTAACTTGGACAGTATTACCTCAGGGGTTTAAAAACAGTCCAATGATTTTTGGAAATCAGTTAGCACGAGAACTAGAATCATAGAAGCCACCTACTCAGACGGGGACTCTGTTACAATATGTGGATGACCTATTAATTGCTACAGAAACAAAGGAAGAATGTATCCAGTGGATGGTGGAATTATTAAATTTTCTGGGACTGAATGGTTATCAGGTATCCAGACAAAAGGCCCAACTAATCCAAACCCGAGTTTCCTACCTAAGATATGAAATAACAAGAGAACAGAGAGAACTTGGAACTGCCAGAAAAGAAGCCATTTGTCAGACTCCACGACTGTCGACCTTCAAGGAACTCCGGACATTCCTGGGAATGACAGGATGGGGCAGACTTTGGATCCATGATTATGGTGTTCTGGTAAGACCACTATACGAACTGTCTCTTTGGACTGGACTGATACAGCACAGGAGGCTTTTAGAAATTTAAAGATACAGCTAATGAGAGCTGCAGCTCTGTGACTTCTGGATGTGACTAAATCCTTTTGGCTATATTCCTATGAAAAACAGAGAATAGCTTTGGGGGTCCTTGCTCAGAAACTAGGACCCTATAAGAGGGCAGTGGTGTATTTTTCAAAACAGCTGGATGAAGCGAGCAAAGGATGGCCCAGATGCCTAAGGGCTGTGGCAGCAGTTGTCATGAATATTGAAGAGGCTCACAAATTCACCTTGGGACAAAAGATTAATGTACTCGTGTCCCATGTTGTATCAGCAGTCCTGGAGCAGAAAGGAGCTCACTGGTTATCTCCTTCGTGTTTTTTTAAAAATACCAGGCCACCCTTGTGGAACAGGATGATATAGAAATTGTGGTCACTAACATTGTGAATCCAGCATCCTTTCTGCAGGGACAATCAACAGAACCACTAACACACAACTGCTTGACCACTATAGAGACTGTATAGTCAAGCCAACCAGATTTGAAAGAAAAACCTGTGGAAGATGCTGATTCTTGGTTTACTGATGGTAGTAGCTTCATGAAAAATGGTGAACAAAAGGCAGGATGTGCTGTTACTGCCCCTTCACAGGTAATAGAAGCTAAACCTTTACCTGCGAACACCTCAGCCCAGAAGGCAGAAATAATAGCATTAACAAGAGCCCTGGAATTGGATAAAGATAAAAGGATAAATATTTGGACTGATTCTAAGTACGCATTTGGTGTGGTCCATGCACATGGGGCTATCTGGAAAGAACGAGGATTTCTGAACACACAAGAGAAACAGATTAAACATGCTACAGAAATTCTACGACTACTGAAAGCTGTTCAGCTACCTGAGGAAGTAGCTATTATGTATTGTCGAGAGCATCAACAAGGTGACTCTGATCAGGAAACTGGAAATAATTTGGCCGATTTTTAAGCCAAACAAGCAGCTGAACAATCTCAAATCATGTCCTTAATCCCTGATGGCAAACTAACAATTGAAAAATCTAAACCTAGGTGTTCAAAAGAGGATAGAAAGTTTATTGAAGATCTAAAAAGAGAGGAAAACCAAGAGGGTGGGGTTCAGATACCTGATGGGTGAATTGTAATCCCCAATAACCAACTCTGGAAGTTAGTTCAGGAAGAACATAATAAAACTCATTGGGGTAGCAACTCTTTGTATAAATACTTAGACGAACAAATTGTAGGAAGAAATCTATATACCACAGTTCAATCAGTGACAAAACAATGTCAGTTATGTCTTAAGAATAATCCTAAAACTGAAAATAGAAATCAAATTGGGACAATTGGGAGAGGAAGTTATCTGGGACAGCAGTGGCAAATAGATTTTTCTGAATTACCAAGAAAAGGGGGTTATCGATATTTGTTGGTGTTAACGGATATATTTTGAGGCTGGCCAGAAGCATTCCCTTGTAGGATAAATAATGCAAGACAAGTGATTAAAACATTATTAAATAATACCTTGTTTTGGAGTACCAGCGGCAATTTCTTCTGACTGGGGTTCACACTTTAGTGCAAAATTGTCACAAGAAATTAGCAAAAAATTAGAAATTGATTGGCAACTACATGTTCCATACAGGCCTCAGGCCACTGGGCAAGTAGAAAAGATGAACCATCTGATTAAACAACAGATTAGTAAAATATTTCAGGAAATGAATTTATATTGGTACCAAGCTTTGCCACTGGCTCTACTAAGAGTTCAAACTAAACCTTGGTTGAAAGAAGAGGTTAGTCCATTTGAGATTTTGTATGGAAGACCATATCAGTCCCAGTTTAAAGGAGAAAGTCTTCAGGAAGTGGGAGAAGGCTATCTCTGACAGTTTCTGATCAAGCTGGGAAAACAATTGCAGGAGATAAATAAGAGAATAGTAGGGACAAGAGCAAGAGGTTTGGATTATCCGATTCACCCTTTCAGATCTGGAGATTGGGTTTATGTTAAGAATTTTTCAGAAGATCCTGTACAGGAGAAGTGGAGCGGACCGTAACAGATATTATTGACCAACTTTACAGCAGTGAAAATAAAGGAACAACCTGCTTGGACACATTATTCAAGAGCAAAGAAAGCACCAGAGCTAGAGAAGACATGGCAGATCGAACCTTCAGGACCCTTACGTATGAAATTGCATATGAAGTGCCCTGACAATGTACTGCCTACCACCCCTCCAACTGGGCAACATGTTCCATCTCCTTCTCGGTGGTATCCCATGCAACCAGGGGTTGGTATGTATATAACTTGCTTCGTGTTAGTGTATATTTGCTTCGCATTAGTAGCACAATAAATAGACTAGAGCATCTGATTGTTTATATTGTGTTTGGTGTCCAGTCTTTGTACATGGCAATCCTATGAACCTGGAACTATGTCACATGACAAAAAAAAAAAAAATAAAATCATAGTACCGCTAACCAAAGTATCTTGGAATTGAGACTGAAACAAGGTAAGTTATTTTCAGAGGAAATTATTGTTGATAATTATTATTAAATAGTTAATCACTCTCTGTGATTGTATGTTATGTCTAGAACAACCTCAAACATGTCATTTTTCCTGTGTGTTACTATTCTCCATTAATAGAACCTGGAGTGATGGGTAGATATAACTAATAAAGCTACAGTCTTCAGATCACAATCAAACTTACCTTGAAGACAGGAGGAGATCTTTTTTCTGTACTTACTTCCATTGCAGCCACATCTTCATTCTTAATCATACTGCTTGGCATGAATGGTGTTATCAAGGCACTAGGAAGAATGTTGACCTTCTCCAGGTTACAGCCAGTGGCCTTCACTGCTGCAGTCACACATAAAAATAAAGGAAGGGCAATGGACTGTTAAGATCCACTCTAAAGAGGGTGGGTTTCTAGTGGTGGCCTGCTTGCCATTTCACTTTTCTAGCCTAACCATAAGAGCTCTCATCCTCATACAAGTGCAAACACTTTAATACTTCAAATAATTCTAGAAAACCTTCAAAGGTTATTTTTAAGTCTAACGGAAGTACCATAGTTGGGGTTTTCTTCCATTTCATATCTTTCTAGACCGAGGACAGCTTGAACTACATAGAAGCTTAAGACATCTTTCCACAAATTTTCACATTCTGAACTTTACTGCACTTTTAACTGTACAAATTCTCTATTTAGTTTTGAAAATTGTCTGGTTTCAGATAACCATGTGAACAGAGTGCTCAAAGCATTCAGACTGTATTTTGATTCTGTTAAAGGAATAATGAAGCAAAACCTTGATAAACCTGCATGCCAGCTCTGTAACAAGAGCAAGTTGTAATTTTGCAACTGCAGTGCCTATTTTTCTCCATTTTTTAAACTAGAAAGGTGGTTTCTTAAAATTAATTAGATCTTTTTAGTTTTAATTTCCATTTTTCCTGATCCACATAAAAAAAATACATAAGCTATCTTCGCTGTAAATGAAATTAACTTTCCTGATTTCAAATACTGCTGAAATTGAGCTTAAAACAAACCAATGGGAAAGCCCGTAGAAAGCATAGTTCCATACATACTTTAAAATAGAGTATTGATCTTCAACATAAAGCATCTCACTGGGTCCCCACCTGGCCTTTATCATTTCAGAACAGTGAGGAAGGACAGGCTGGGGCATATGCAGAGACTAAGTACATAATGCAGACAAAACTAATCATGAACTGCTTGGTTCATGATCAGCCTAGAGCAGAATAGGTACAGGAATGAGCCTTCAAAATGAGATGACTAGCAGAAAACCCACACAAGAAAGTAAATTAAGATTTATCACATAAATGAAATGGAGAACATGAAGCAACAGAAATAGCATATTTTATGAACAGCAGATATTCTTCCAAAGCAGTTGGTATTTTCTCTTGGTTAAGCCTCCATACTTAATTAGTCAGATGTCAAGCTTGTCATGATACATAGCTGTGGTGATTTAAAGCCAGTCAGGCAACTCGTTCACTCACTCCCCCTGCTTCTTTCCCTCCCCCTACTCCCGGAGGGACAGAGAGGAGAATAGAAAAGAATGCAACTCCCACAGGTTGAGATAAGAACAGTTTAGTAACTAAGGTATAACACAAATCACTACTGCTACCACCAATGATAATAATGATAAAGGAAATAACAAGGGAACAGAATACAACACCTCACCACCAGCCGACCAATAACTCGCCCCCCCCAGCCCGACCAAGCACCGACCGATACCTCCTCCAACCCTGCAGTCCCCCAGCCCTTCCGGCTAACTCCCAGTTACATCCTAGGCATGACGTGCTGTATATGGAATACCTCTTTGGCTAGCTTAGGTCAGGTGTCCTGTCTCTGGCTCCTCCCGGCTTCCCCTCCTCCCTGGCAGAGCATGAGGCTCACAAAGTCCTTGGCCAAACCAAAACATCATTGTTATCAGCTCTGTTCCCAAGCCAAAAGTCAAAACACTGCACTGCACCAGCTACCAGGAAGGAGAAAAATGACTGCTACTGCTGAACCCAGGACAATAACTTAAAATTTTCCTCATCTTTTTGATCTTGCTACTAGAAGTCTTACCAGTCTTTTTATTATCTTGTTTCATTGCCCTAAATCATAGAATCATAGAATAGTTAGGGTTGGAAAGGACCTTAAGATCATCTAGTTCCAACCCCCCTGCCATGGGCAGGGACACCTCACACTAAAACTAAATATTTCTGCACGTTTCTCTCCCAAGTATTCCCTGCGGGTTTAAACTTGTTATATCTTGTATTATCCTCCCTAACGAGTTGTAAAATCAACTTGCAAATATATCCCCTGCCAAGACCAAGCTATTAACTTTAAACATGAGCTTCATGATTTTAACTTGAAGTTATAGATTCCTATCAAACTTGTTATCACATTGTTAATTTGCTTACCTTCAACCTGCTTTCACCAGAGCAGGCTACGGAAATTTCCATTAACTGTTGTATACTACCATAGCTTTAACAGTCAACTTGGAAACATTTCCTTCCTCTACTTTATTTCACTATCAGAAGGATCAATTCAATCTACACTTAAAAACCAGGCAAACCTAAAACTTCCTACCTTGGAACAAAACAACAAACATTGCATGGAATGAATGGGTCAGAAAAAAGAAAGCAAAGGGGGAAAAAAAAAAAAAGATGACAGAGAAAACAAAGGGAGGAGGGAAGAAAAAAAATAAAAGGAAAGAGGAAAGAAAATAAAAAAAAAGCAAACAAACCCACAACAACTTACTTAAGGGAATTAAGCTGAAATTGCCAGAATTAGCATTCTTAATTAGACCCACTGAAAGCAGTCTCATAGAACCACTGGACAGCCTCCAAAATATACCAGTTGGTATGTTTGTGCTTTCAGTACTCAGTTCTTTCTCATCACTACCTTTACGTATGTTTTTAGATTAAATTCACACTGAACTCTTTCTAAATCCTTTGTACTGACTTCCATCTTAGGCTTCATTCTTTTTTCTTCTTCACTTACAATCATATTAAATGAAGTTTAGAATGCAGGGCCTGAGGCATGAAAAATTAATATAAAACCCACCCACAACTCTTTTTTGCAGGCTTTATTTTATACTAGCTCATGTTAAAATATACTTAAAAGAACACTGTTACAAAGTAAAATATTCAGAATCAGAAAACAAACCTCACTGTAAGAATACAGACAGATTTTATCATCACAGTCCTGGGTTCAGCAGTAGCAGTCATGTTTTTCCTTTGTGTTAGCTGGTGCAGTGCTGTGTTTTGACTTCCAGCCTGGGAACAGTGTTGGTGAAGTCAATGTTTTCAGTTGTTGCCAAGTGATGTTTACCCTGACCAAGGACTTTGTGAGGCTCATGCTCTGCCAGGGAGGAGGGGAAGCTGTGAGGAAGCAGAGATGGGGCGCCTGACCCGGGCTAGCCGGGGAGGTATTCCATACCACAGCACGTCATGCCCGGGGTGGGGGGTAACTGGGAGTTACCCGGAAGGACACGGGCTTCCGGGTGGAACTCGTTTTCTTGGCCGGTGGTATCATATTCTCTTCCCTTGTTATTTTCCCTTATCGTTGTTGTAGTTGATAGTAGCGGTGGTGATATGTGTTGTACATTGGCTGCTGGACTGTTCTTGTCTCAACCCGTAGGAGTTGCACTCTTTCGATCCTCCTCCCCGTTCCTCCGGGAGCGGGGAAGGGGAGAGCCCCGGTGCGGGGGGGGGGACGGACGGACACAGACCTCGATTGTTGTCAGCTCGGCACCACTCACTGGGAGTGAGTGAACAAGTTACCTGACTGGGTTTAAACCACGACAGTTCTTTTTGGCGCCCAACGTGGGGCACGAGGGGTTGAGATAAGAACAGATCTGACTGGATTGATAGTCACTCGTCACAATGCTGATTTATTGGCCCTCAAGGTTGTTCCTCTTGATCTCACATTTTCAATATATCGTATCTTACGTCCATCCGGTATTTGCTGTATTAGTGTTTTTCAAGTGTGGGGCTTGGGCTAAGGTTTTTGTCCCATTGTACTTTATGGTAATGACTTGTAATACAATAGAATCATTGATCATGAAACTGATCTGGCTTATGTTCCCAGTGTGGTCACCACCTTTATACTTTGGGAGGTATATGATGGAGGTGCTTAGCAATTACACATCTTTTTTCTCCTTCTCAGGTGCTCAACCTGTGAAGGAGACATTCTTTTACCCTCCCAGTCGTCCCCCCAGACCATTTACATTTGAGAGTTTTGAATATTTTGAATGGCCTTTTAATAATGTTGAGACTTGTTTGCTGATGGTGATGGGAATCACCATGCTAACACGCATACAGAGTGTGTTTTGCCCACTACTGATTTCAACAGTTAAGCAGAGTCAGGTTTGGGTCTTGTCTGGGGTCAAACAACAATGTAGGAGGACCAAGAGATTTTCCCTGAGGCTGGACAGCCATGAGTGGCATGGTGTGTGGGATAGTATGGGCAAGTATCTAGGTCAGTGGGCCCCTCCAGTACTTTGGAATTTCACTACCGAACAACTGCAAAATCCAGAAGAATTAGTAAAACACTTAAATGAGGTGTGTGGTCACTCTGGCCATACCAGAGATGGACAAATCATGGAAACATGCTGGAGCTTGGCCTATGCTTACAGGGCCTTGTTCAACACTATCCAGCACCTTCAAAAGGAAAAGAAGGTCGGCGGATCTGAGGGCAAAGCAACAGTCGCTACTCAAACTTTGGCTGCAATGAACAGCACAGCTACCCCAGCGGCAAGTACAGCAGCTGCTCAAACTTCAACTGCAACAGACAACGCGGTTACCCCAGCTCCAAGCACAGCAGCTGCACCAACCCCAGCGACAAGTACAGTCGCTACTCAAACTTTGGCCTCAATGAACAGAGCAGCTACCCCAGTGGCAAGTACAGCAGCTGCTCAAACTTCAACTGCAACAGACAGCGTGGTTACCCCAGCTCCAAGCACAGCAGCTACACCACCCCCAGCAACAAGTACAGTTGCTACTCAAACCACAGTGATAATCACTGCAGCCAAACCAGAGGACCAATTCGTACCAATATCGGTTGCCCCTGTATGCAAGAGAACAAGTAAAAAGGAGGCAAAAAGGGTGAAGCGAGATGAAGAAACAATGAATTCACCACCCGGTCCAGAATCTGATCAGGAGTCATCATCACATGACGAAGAAGAAGAGGTAACTTCTCGACCTCGGACCTCAACCGAGCTGCGGAACATGCGAAAAGATTTTACCCGTCAACCAGGGGAGCACATCATCACCTGGTTACTCCGATGCTGGGACAATGGGGCCGATGGTCACGAACTAGAAGGTACAGAAGCCAAGCAGCTGGGATCACTTGCTAGAGAAGGGGGAATTGACAAAGCAATTGCAAGAGAGAAAAAGTCCCTCAGCCTTTGGAGGAGGCTCTTGGCAGCTGTGAAAGAAAGGTTTCCGTACAAGGACGATGTTATGAGTCGTTCGGCCAGGTGGACTACTATAGACAAAGGCATCCAGTCTCTGAGGGAATCGGCCATCGTAGAGATGATCTATCACAGGCTGGATGCCGAATAGCGGGGATACACCTATAGATCCAGATGAAGTTGAATGTACACGACCCATGTGGTGAAAACTTACACGGAATGCACCGTCATCATATGCCCATTCATTGGCAACAGTGACCTGGAATGACATAGTACCACTAACAGTGGATGAAATGGTTCATAAACTCCGAGAGTTCGAAGACAATCTCACCCCTTCCATCATCTCAGCTGTGAAAAAACTGTCCCAGGACCTCGAACAATTGAGGGACGATCAATCTGATTTATCCAGCTCCTCACGTGTACCAACACACGTCTCAGCTATTAACAAAAGGCGTCCTATTGTTCAAGAGAGGAGATACAGGAGGTATACGCCACGGGGTACCCTATGGTTTTACTTGCTGGATCACGGAGAAGACATGACAAAGTGGGATGGAAAACCTACTTCAGCTTTGGAGGAACGGGTGAGTGAACTGAAGAGGGGAGCAAGGGCCAAGAATGATCGTCCCATGAGAACTACGGCTTCAGTCTCTGGTGAGCAGTTTCCCAGACGGAATGAAAGAGCTGATTTTACTCCAGCTCCTGTGATAACGAAGAAAAATCCCTTTCACCACGACTTAAGTGTCCAATGCTGTGACGACTATTAGAGGGGCCCTGCCTCCAGCCAGGGGGAGGTAGGGGACAATCGGATTTACTGGACTGTGTGGATCAGATGGCCTGGCACATCAGTCCCACAGAAGTATAAGGCTCTAGTAGATACCGGTGCACAGTGTACCCTGATGCCATCAAGCTGTCAAGGGGTGGAACCCATCTATATTTCTGGAGTGACAGGAGGATCCCAAGAGTTGACTGTGCTGGAGGCTGAAATCAGCCTGACTGGGAGGGAGTGGCAAAAGCACCCTATTGTGACTGGTCCAGAGGCTCCATGCATCCTTGGCATAGACTACCTCAAGAGAGGGTACTTCAAAGACCCAAAAGGGTACCGGTGGGCTTTTGGTATTGCTGCTTTGGAGACTGAGGAAATTGAGCAGCTGTCCACCTTGCCTGGTCTCTCAGAAGATCCCTCTGCTGTGGGGTTGCTGAAAGTTGAAGAACAACAAGTGCCAGTGGCGACCACAACAGTGCACCGGCGGCAATATCGCACCAACCGAGACTCCCTGATTCCCATCCATCAGCTGATCCGTAGACTGGAGAGTCAGGGGGTGATCAGCAGGACCCGCTCACCCTTCAATAGCCCCATATGGCCAGTGCGAAAGTCTAATGGAGAATGGAGACTAACAGTAGACTATCGTGGCCTGAATGAAGTCACACCACCATTGAGTGCTGCCGTACCGGACATGCTAGAACTTCAGTATGAACTAGAGTCAAAGGCAGCCAAGTGGTATGCCACGATTGATATTGCCAATGCATTTTTCTCAATTCCCTTGGCAGCAGAGTGCAGGCCACAGTTTGCTTTTACTTGGAGGGGTGTCCAGTTCACTTGGAACCGACTGCCCCAGGGGTGGAAACACAGCCCTACCATTTGCCATGGACTGATCCAGACTGCACTGGAACAGGGGCAAGCTCCAGAACACCTGCAATACATTGATGACATTATTGTGTGGGGCGATATAGCGGAAGAGGTCTTTGAGAAAGGGAGGAAAATAATCCAAATCCTGCTGAAAGCTGGTTTTGCCATAAAACGGAGTAAGGTCAAGGGACCTGCACAGGAGGTGCGGGGGGGGGACACGGACCTCGATTGTTGTCAGCTCGGCACCACTCACTGGGAGTGAGTGAACAAGTTACTTGACTGGGTTTAAACCACAACAATCACAAACTTATCTTCACAGGATATCTGATTCATTTCTCCAAATTTATAGTTAAACTATTAACAACAATGATAATAATCAATTTAGTACCTTTTATAGTCTCTTCAAAAGAACAATGTTGGGTTGGGCTGGAGATTTCCTTCTTCACATTAACATTCAGAGTACCAGCTGTTGAGACAAAACACATTTAGAACTTCCTTATGTTAAAACAGCAAACAAGCAAAAAAACCCCAAGCAAACCAAACCAGTTACTTATATCTTAAAGAAACTGAGGTTCTTTGAAACCCAAACAAGCTTTTGGACTGTGTATTTGTCATGGTCTAAGCCCAGCAAGTAAATCAGAACCATGCAGCCATTCACTCAGAGCTGACTGCTACAGCTGAACCCAGAACAGAATTGTAATATAGATAAACAAAAATATAGTGATATGGTCAAACTTCAACTTTCCTCAGGATAAAGACTGGTGCTATTTTTTCTTTGTATTTGGTGCACTGTATGTAATGTCTTCTTTTTTCTTACTCAGCTTCATTTTGAACCTTAGACTAAAAATGGATGCTACGTTATAAGAACAGCTGTCTCCATGCAGCTGAAATTTGAGATACTTACCATGTAAATGAGAAAAGCCAAGCCTTTAGATTTTATTATTTAACAGAGCAAACATCACCAGCAAGACAAGTTTTAAAAGATCTACATTACTTAACATTTCTGTTGTATGGACTAAATACTATGAAATCAAAACCAAGATGCTTTGCAGGTAAAACTGCCCCTTCCTTCCTCTAGTTTTATATTTCACATACTTGTGTCTGGAGTGTACGTAAATGGTTGCACATCGTGCGATCTTCCAGCATTGGTTACCACATATATTCCCACAGAAACAGCTGAGGTTATTTGCTGGTCATGGTATGGTGGCACCTTCACAATAAGGTGATTCTGCAATTCAAAAATAATTTAAAAACCACATTAGAAACCTTATTTCATTATTATTTACCTTTGTAAGCTTAAATAATAGGTTTAAACTAACAAGAGTGTGTGCCTTTAACGTAGTAGAATAGGCCAAACTGTTCTAACTTGATAACACATAGAGAGAAAGGAATGTTCGGCTGATGGGAAAGAACATTACAGGACTGATAACAACTAAGGAGACAGCAAATAAGACCAAGGATGCCAGCCTTCAAGATAGCAGAGTGGCACCCAGTCTGGAGTGAGACTGGATCAGAACAGAAGCAAGGACATACCAACTGCTAACTCGGCACTAAGACCTTGTGAGCATGCACAAGCACTGAGATCATTCAGTAAATGCAGTGAGGAAGATTGTCAGCGACCAACAGAGACCCTCACTCAGCAAGAAAGCACATGCGCAATTAGAATGAAAATATTACAAAGAGATCCCGGGAATCTCATGAATATGTAAACAATTTCCTGGAAACTGTAAATATGCATGAGTATGCTAAATATATAGCTACTGTTGGCAAGTAGTGTGTGCACTCACCTTTGCAAAACTATTTGCGTGTGCACCTAGCGCTGCAATAAAGAATGCTGCTTTCTAAAACTCCAAATTGAGTCTTAGAGAGTTTCTCTGACCAACTTTTACAGTAACACCTTAATTGTATCATATCCATCAAAACAGAAACAGACTGATAAAACACCATAAAAAACAAAGATATTGGGGGAGATGTGATCAAGTTGCACTTTCAGTGAACTGATAAATAACTAGTGCTAGAAGAGAGATTTGAATAATCTGCCTTTATGATGCTCATTGGAAACCTACAATCCAAATGGAAAGACATATTAAAGTCCAGTACCTTAAGCATAAGCTTATGCCTAACATGCCTTACTGAACTGCAGTCAGTTTGCCATCAAATTCTGCTGGACTCAGACACTTCATGTTCTGCCAACTCAGGTCTCTGTTCAGTGTGATCAGATGGACGATGCAGTTTCATGGTACACCTAAGCAGATTTAACACTGAGCAGAAATCAAAAAATAGGCCTGCAGTCATTCACCAACAGGAATAGCGATGAGGGATCTGTCTATTCCCCAGCTATGCACTAGAAGTGAGAAAGCATCTAATAATTTCTCCAATTTCAGTTCAATAGTCCATAAAGACACTTAGTTGTGGCAAAAAGAAGAAACAAATATTTTGTAAAACATTTCAGAGTGGAACAGAAGTCCAGCCAGGTATAAATACTATAGTGTACACAATATAATTCCACTCAGTAGAAATCTAATGTGCCCTTAGGAAAGCTACTGGAAAAACTGTATTAGGCCTTTAAATTACACTGTATATAAGGGCAAAGACTTGCTTCATATACCACACTCCTACTGTGACATCTGAATTCTCAGTTAGAAATTAAGCAGTTATACGTGTGTGAACTCAAACCAATGATATTCTACCAGATTCACTAAGGAACTTATTTGAAGAAAAGGAATATTATTTCTAGAAATGCACAGGAAGAGGGAAAGGCTTATTTTTCTTTGGAAAAAGAGTGTTTTTTTCTTATTAAAATATAACAGTATTACCACCACCACTAACAAAACAGAAGTACCTGATGAAATAATTCCATGTCTATTTCAGCTTCTGCCTTCCATGAATTCTCATCTAAATGAAAATGAAAAAGAAGAATTTATTTTGCATCCATATAAAGCCATTTATTTTAGTGCCTTTGATTCTGCTTGCCAGTTTGGTCTCTACAACTAAATTTTATCACCCAATGTAAACCTGAGCATCATGCTCTCTTCAGTACCCCAAGCTGTTATTGCTTTCACACTAACCAGAAACGTTCTCCTGGAAAATCACTTTTGTTCCCTTTAGAAAGTTCTTGCCAATCAGAAAAACTTCTTCTTCACCCTTCACTGAACAACTGTGCAGACTTTTCTTTAGGATCTCTGGAACACCTGCTGGTTGAGCTGCGATTGAAAGAAAACCCCATAGTTTGAAATTAAGAAAATATCAAAATCCAAACAAAAAGCTTTTACTTACAGGATTATAAAGGAAAGAACAAAATAATTCCTCAGCTTCTTCCTTTACTATATCATTCATGAAAAAGGTTTTCAGACAATAACCATTTCTATTATTTCCTCACTAAATGTGATGGCCTCAAAAATCACACTTAAAGAAATGATCCACTAACAACATTTTCCCTTTTCTCCTGCATTTATTAAATCCTCAAAATGAAATTCTCAGTGTTTGAGCTAAAGCTCAAGAAAATTTGGTTGCGTAATTTCCTGGCATAGAGAGCTATAAACAAATGCATCAGCCCTTAGTTACAGCTGAAGCACACCTTCAAATCTATCCTTAAGGTTAAAAAAAAAGAAAAAAAGAATAACAAGAAGCTTTTTTGTTCTTCTATGCAAAAGGGTATAAGTAGTAATTCTCATGTTACCTGGGTTTGTTCTTTTTACATGACGTAGCTTTCTGGCTGGTACAAGAACTAAACCAGGGCTTGGAGCAACCTGGTCTAGTGGAAGGTGTCTCTGCCCACGGCAGGGGGTTGGAACTGGATGTTCTTTAAGGTCCCTTCCAACATGAACCATTCTGTGATTCTGTGACTTTCTAGACCTATATACTTAAATGCAAATTTGTGCAAGAGTCACATGTTCATAGTTGGGGATTACAGCAACTGATATCCTATGAACTATCAAAGAGAATGAAGCCTACAGATCTACATGCCTGGAAACCTCTGCCTCTCAGCCAGTAATTCAGATGACAATTTGTATAACACACATTACAAATTGTCTTTGCTGCAAACTATTCCTATGCTTTGTAAAGCATAAATCAAGTAAGACCACGTATTAAATGAAAATGAGCACCAAAGACAATTTAAATAGACATGCATTTTAAAATAAAGTACTCTGTCACATTTAATATATAAAATAATTACAGTTTCTAATAAAGGTTTCTCAACTACCATTTCTATTCCTCACAAAATCACAGTATCACAGTATCACAGTATGTTAGAGATTGGAAGGGACCTCGAAAGATCATCTAGTCCAATCCCCCTGCCAGAGCAGGAACACCTAGATAATGTTACACAGGAATGCGTTCAGGCGGGTTTTGAATGTCTCCAGGGAAGGAGACTCCACAACCTCCCTGGGCAGCCTGTTCCAGTGTTCCGTCACCCTCACTGAGAAGAAGTTTCTTCTCAAGTTTAAGTGGAACCTCTTGTGTTCCAGTTTGTACCCATTACCCCTTGTCCTATCATTGTTTGCCACTGAGTAGAGCCTGGCTCCATCCTCGTGACACTCCCCCTTTATATATTTATAGACACTTATAAGGTCACCCCTCAGTCTCCTCTTCTCCAAACTATAGAGACCCAGCTCCCTCAGTCTTTCCTCATAAGGGAGATGTTCCACTCCCCTAATCATCTTCGTTGCCCTGCGCTGGACTCTCTCCAGCAGGTCCCTGTCCTTCTTGAACTGAGGGGCCCAGAACTGGACACAATATTCCAGATGGGGTCTCACCAGGGCAGAGTAGAGGGGAAGGAGGACCTCTCTCGACCTACTAACCACCGCCCTTCTAATACACCCCAGGATGCCATTGGCCTTCTTAGCCACAAGGGCACAGTGTTGGCTCATGGTCATCCTGTTGTCCACTAGGACCCCCAGGTCCCTCTCCCCTACACTGCTCTCTAACAGATCGTTCCCCAACCTATACTGGAACCTGGGGTTGTTCCTGCCCAGATGCAGGACTCTACACTTTCCCTTGTTATATTTCATCAAGTTACTCCCTGCCCAACTCTCCAGCCTGTCCAGGTCTCGCTGGATGGCAGCACAGCCTTCTGGCGTGTCAGCCACTCCTCCCAGCTTAGTGTCATCAGCAAACTTGCTGATAGTACACTCAATTCCCTCATCTAAATCATTGATGAATATATTAAATAATACTGGTCCCAGTACTGACCCTTGAGGCACTCCACTAGTTACAGGCCTCCAACTAGACTCAGCCCCATAGACTACAACTCTCTGGCTTCTCTCCTTCAGCCAGTTCGCAGTCCACCTCACTACCTGATCATCCAGTCCACACTTCCTCATTTTAGCTGTGAGGATGCTGTGGGAGACTGTGTCAAATGCTTTGCTGAAGCCAAGGTAGACCACATCCACCGCTCTGCCATCATCCATCCACCGTGTTATTTCCTCATAAAAGGCTAAGAGATTGGTCAAACATGATTTCCCCCTGGAGAAGCCATGTTGACTGCCCCTCATAACCCTCTTATCCTTGATATGCCTTAAGATGGCACCAAGGATAAGGTGTTCCATCACTTTCTCAGGGATGGAGGTGAGGCTGACTGGTCTATAGTTACCCGGGTCCTCCTTCTTGCCCTTTTTGAAGACTGGAGTGACATTTGCTTTCCTCCAGTCCTCAGGCACCTCTCCCGTTTCCCAAGACTTGGTAAAGATGATGGAGAGTGGTCTAGCAATGACTTCTGCCAGTTCCCTCAGCACCCGCGGGTGCATCCCATCTGGACCCATGGATTTATGGATGTCCAGATTGCTCAACTGGTCTCTAACCCATTCCTCATCGACTAAGGCAAACCGCTCCATCGACCTGACTTCATCTAAGGTCTCAGGGGTACAGGGCTCTTCAGGACTGCCTGCAGCAGAGTAGACAGAGACAAAGAAGGCATTCAGTAACTCTGCCATCTCTGTATCTTCTGTCACCAGGGCACCCATCTCGTTCATCAGTGGGCCTACATTGCCTCTGGTGTTAGTTTTGTCTGCCATGTATTTGAAAAAGCTCTTTTTGCTGTCCTTGACCCTTCTTGCCAGGTTTAATTCTAAGGATGCCTTAGTCCTCCTAGCTGCCTTCCTACATCCTCTAGCAGCAGCCTTATATTCCTCCCAAGTGGCCAGCCCCTCCTTCCATGACCTGTAAACTCTCCTCTTCCACTTGAACATACCCAGCAATTCCCTATTTAGCCACGCAGGTCTCTTGGCCCTCTTCCTTGACTTCCTACGTGTCGGGATGCTCCGATCTTGAGCACGGAAAAAGCAGTCCTTGAATGTCAACCAACTATCTTGGGCCCCTTTACCTTCAAGCAGCCCTGCCCATGGGATTTCCCCTAGCAATTGCTTGAAAAGGCCAAAGTTTGCCCTGCTAAAGTCCAGGGTTGCAATTCTACTTGGTATTCTACTAGTCCTGCCACACAAGATCCTGAACTCCACCATCTCGTGGTTGCTGCAACCAAGGCAGCCCTCAACCCATACTGCTTCGACCAGACCCTCCTTGTTAGTGAGGATGAGATCCAGCAGCGCTCCTCTCCTGGTCGGCTCATCCACCATTTGCAGGAGGAAGTTATCATCCATACACTGGAGGAACCTCCTGGACTGTGGCTGGGCTGCCGAGTGGTCCTTCCAGCAAACATCAGGGAAGTTAAAATCCCCCACGACAACCACGGCCTGTGACTGTGAGGCCGCTCTCAGCTGCCTGTAGAAGGCCTCGTCAACTTCCTCACCCTGATCCGGTGGTCTGTAACAGACACCTACAACAGTATCCCCCCTGCCAGCCTGCCCCTTAATTCTCACCCACAGACTCTCAACTCGCTCATCATCTGTCCCTGGACAGAACTCGGTGCATTGTAGTTCCTCCCGCATATAAAGAGCAACCCCACCACCCCGCCTGGCTGGCCTGTCTTTTCTGAAAAGGACATAGCCCTCCATGACTATATTCCATCCTAATGGCATGAGCTTGTACTTGAGCTTTTCTCTTGTGTGACCTGCTTTTATTATTTAATAATAATGTTCTCTGGGCTTACTACACAGTAGGACATACATACTGTAACACTCAAAATTATTTAATAACCTTTCAGAAAGGATCTTTCTACAAGTGGTGCAGTGGGTTCCTAGGCAACTGTTATACAACTACTAAATATACTCAAGGCACATAGAACGTCTGAAAAGAGTAATTGGATTTAGGCTTGCTAGCAAGTGAACAAAGCCTATTTAAAACACAGACCCTAAATAAAGAGCCTACATCTACTCAAGGTCTTTCCCATGGTTTTAGGAATATTACTGCAGCTTTGACTGCAATATTAGTGACAAAACACAAGATAAGCAGGCTGTGATGAGTGATTATGTAAACCTCATTATGAGAAAGTACAGTACACAACTGTAATAAGATGTGTGTAGCAAATAAACCAGGTACAATGTGCCTGAGAAGATGATTTATATAAGCAAGTAACTTAATAAACAACATTTTATGCCATATGGATCAGCCAGTATGTACATACCAGCACAGTTTGATTGGCTATGGTCTACTGAAAATCATTGTAACTTTGGTGTGAGTTAAGAAGCAGAAGCACAGAATCCTTGGAAGAGCCTCAAGAATTCCCCTCAATCTTCACATGACAATTAGCTTTACCCACACTATTCATCAAAGACACGAGTCTAACTATTTTGTTTGTTTGTTTTAGGCTTCCAGCAATGGAGATGCTATGAAATTCCTGGGCAATCTCTTGGTAACTTACACAATTAGGAAGAATTTCTTATCAACTGATCAAACCCCAGCTTGCTAAAAACTAAACCAATTTACTCTCTACTGTAATTTTTGATTTTTAGAACTTTATTTATGGAAGGATAACCTTCCTTCTTCCCTTCCTTCTGCCCTCCCTCCCTCCTTCCCTTCTTCCTTCCTTTTCTTCTAATGGCCTTAGCATGTCATCCCTCTCACATATTCTGCTTTTTACTCACTGCCCATATCTCCAAATATAACTAGTTACAGGTATAAACAGCTGCATTCAACAGAGAATAAAGACTACAAGGGACCTTCATAAGCCAGTACTGGAATGGCCTTACAAACAAGCTAAGTAGGAATCGCATCAAACACAGTTTTTTTAGCTAAACAGCCTATTTTAAAATCAGTCTCTAAAACATCTCAGACATTCAGCTTCTACCTAACAAGAGCAAGTTTTGGATTGTTATGTGCTTAAGAAAACACCACATGATTTCTATTCCCATTTATGCTATGATTTAAATAACTTTAACCAGTAAGTTAATGATACAAACAAAATGCATACAGATAGAGCTTTTAGTGATTTTATAGAAAATGTTTTTTTTTCTTAAATCTGAAAATTAATGTCAGATACTACAATGCTGCCCTGACTGAAATGGAGCTACACGAACAACCATAGACCTAGCAAATGTACTTATGTATTTTCCAACAACATAAATGCCTAAATATGAATGCTCCACCAGTTCAAACAACACTGGGAAAAGAAAGATTTAGCAAAAAGTGGCAGGAGAGGAAAAGAGAAGGATGGGAACACCTCAAGTTCTGGAAGGAAACCCCAAACATCAAACTACTGCCTAAAGCACAGAACATGGCTGAGGAGAGGAGGAGATCCCTCCCTTGCATCAGCAGTGACACATCTTTGTTTATCAGCCTTTTCAGGGTTTCTACAGGGTTCCTGCTCTCCCCGAGTCTTGCATAGAGATTCTCTGCAAGAGCAGAAGAGTGGAAAAAGGGACAGACCACATGCCACATCTGCCAAATCGCCTGCTGCCTGCAGCACTAGAACCACATAGAGGTAGCTGATGTGGAAGCTCATGTGATTTTAATTATCTCCTCTTTCAATCTGTTCTTTTGTTGGCAACAAAGCTGCAGTTTCTGATGAGTTGACACAATAGGTACTAACAGAGTTTAGAAAAAGAAAAAAACCCACCAAACCAAATAACTTTTTATACAATGGAAAGAGCACAACACAAGGAGCTTTTGCATAACCATACTATGATTCCAGATAGCTCTCCTATTTTCTTGTTCATCAAGAAATATCAGTAACCCCATCAACAGCTGTTATTATATATATAATATATATTATATATATAACATTTCCTTATTTTTTCTCTTTGACAGATGAGCAGAATTCCCCATAGCTGGAAGCTGCTACAGACTCCACAGACACAGGCAGCCCCTGATGTACTGCAGCCTCCTCTAATTTCATTTTCCCTGTTCAGCATAACTGAACCAGTCAATGCAGCCATCTGTACTCAGTGCTAAACAGACCATTTTAATAAAGAGCTATAAAAGGTTTAATTCTTGCACTGAACCAGTGCATCTGGCCCAACAAAGTACCACAACTGCTCACTAACTCATTAGAAGTCCTTTTGGTCACTGAAAGCTGACCAGAGTGAATGTGACAATACAGAAAATATTAAAACTTATCTCAAAAAAGTCACATAAGTTCAAATCAATCATGACAAGAACATCCTGACTTTTTAAAAGGCAAAAGTTCATTTAATAAAAGATGAGGAAATTCATAACTACTTTTAAATACTGGTCAGTCATTTAACTAACACATCACCCCAAATAAAAATTAATACATGTGATCTTTACTGTAAGGGTGGTGAGGCACTGGAATGGGTTGCCCAAGGAAGCTGTGAATGCTCCATCCCTGGAAGTGTTTAAGGCCAGGTTGGACAGAGCCTTGGGTGACATAGTTTAGTGTGAGGCGTCCCTGCCCATGGCAGGGGGGTTGGAACTAGATGATCTTAAGGTTCTTTTCAACCCTAACTGTTCTATGATTCTATGATCCTATGACTCTATGATCTTAGCCATAGCAATTCTAAAATAGTCACAGCCTAACATTGGGGTGTTTTTTTCCCTAAGGCATATTTATGGCAATCACATTAAACCCCAGAGTCCTCTAATACCGGCTTTTTATTTTGATACTTACTGCACAAAATCGGGGAAGAAGGTGTCTGAAGAGTCAAAGTTGAACCATCTTTGCGAGTGATGTTAACACGAAATACCAGCCTAGCACGTGTGCTCTTTTTCTTTGAGCCAGCAATCCCTATCCTAGCTTCAACATCAGCATTTCTCAGTTTCAGTATTCCCACGCAATCAACCCTAACAACAGAAAACAGTGGAGTTTAATAGAGTTTAATATGTTCAGCATCTTTAACAGTCTTTCAACTAATTACATAGGCCATAAGTCAAAACTCTAAGTAATTGCTGGAATATTATTTTTCTTTTTTTTTTTTTACACGAAATTTCTATGTGAACTTTCTCATTACATAGCTTGGTTTTCAATTCAACCCTACATATTTTGGATGATGAATTATAAGAGGGAGGAATAATAAAGCAGCATGAATAAAACAGAAAATACAATGTAACAAAGCCATTCTTGTAAGCATTCAATTTATAACCACAAGTCTTCACCCTTCCATTCCTGTGTCTAGATCTGGGTTTGTAGGATTATTACTACAAAATATTCTGCATTCACTTAAAGCAGTAGTAGAAGAAAATGTACTGTAGTCATATTATTTTTTATGCTCAGCAGACCTTGGAAGCGATAGATACACCATACCATAACTGCAGTCCTCTGGGAAACATCAAAAACCAACCAAACACAGCCTGATGTGTTAAGAACGACATTGTCATTTTACCAGGACCTTAGGCTCTACACCCAAATAGTACAGGGACCATCTGATATCAAATTTGAGTACAACAAAGTTTTGTGCTGTATGAGGGCCAACATGCAACAGCTAGGGAGCGGAGAGGAGGGGAGAGGGATTTAGAAGGTGGCACTGGCATTGCTGTCAATAGGGAGGTGCTATAGCATCACTGAAATACTAGGAAGATTTGAGACATCAAGATTCCTTTCAAGAAAACAGCCTAAGCAAAACTTTTCTTCCCAGGCAATTCCAAATTCATCTTTATAGCATCTCTATACTTATATGGTTTTCCATTAATGCTTGAGGACAATTATAAAATTACTATCCAAGAGGCAGTTACCATGGGAACATATTTTACATTAAAAAAATCAAATTGATACAGTCTATTAGCAAACTATATCATCCTACTAAAGAAGTGGACACTGTCAATTGAATAAACATTTCTTCTCTTGAAACAAGACAAGCTTCCACGTGAAGTAGCAGCTTTCATCCACACACCTGTTGAAAAGAAGACCTACTGAAAAGAATTATTTGAAAGATCACTCCCTTTCTGTACCAAGATACATGCGAAAAGCTTATTATGAAATCACTTATATTCAGAGTTTGCTTCTGATTAGCAATTCTTACTTGTTAAAAGACAACCAGCAGAACCACTGACCAGCTTATAATTCATCTCATACCTGAATATGCATATAATTGATCAAACAGGACATGAAAATAATGTAACAGTTAACTGATAAAGTTTAAGGAAGACCTGATTAAGAATTAAATATAATAAACTGAGAGTGCCTGGTGTGTGTCAAGATGTTCAGACTTTTAACTACTAACCCACCCAACTGAAAAAGGAAAATTAATTTCTGAAAATAAGTGCCTTTTTAAAAAAAAAAAGGGGAAAAAAAAAGCTACAAAAAAAGCTACTCACGCAAGTGTCATATTGTTGCTTGGGTCCAGTCCAACCTCAATAACAGTAGTCCCCTCTATATCCACTTCTTTACAGGGAGTAGTGTTTCTCCCAGTAACTCTGCAGGCCTGGTAGAATCCATGTGGCTTCACTCGACCAGAGTCATTACCCACAAATACCTGAAGCACCACCGGCTCATTGTGACCTTCCAGCTGAAACATGGCAACACAAATCAAATATTTCAAAAATTGCCACTTAATTAAAACACAAAACATTTTACACAGCTGAATTAGTAAAGGGTACTCTGATACTCTACCATTTAAATGGAAAGCTAAATGAACAGTCTTTGTGTCATGTCACCAAGGTCTCCTTGGCTAGAAACAGCATCGCCACAGCTAACTTGTGTCACTTTTCTTCCCTGGTGTTCTTGTTAGAAGAAGGTATGAACGGTGCACAAGAGTATTTCACATCATCTGGGTGGTAACTGCTCCAGCTTTGCAATACCATTAGCAAGACAAAGTGAAGATCAGCTACTGATGGCAGGGACACCTCCACTGACAATATGCATTCAGGATAATCCTTCTTTTGCCAGACAAGTCACTTGTTTGTTTATACAGTTTTAATGTTGCATGTTGATTTTAGACTCTCTAGTTCTAAATCATCAAGTAACATGGTGTCCTGGGTTCAGCAGCAGCAGTCATTTTTCTCCTTAGTAGCTGGTGCAGTACTGTGGTTTTGACTTTCAGCCTGGGAACACCAATGTTTTTAGTTGTTGCTAAGTAATGTTTACTCTGACCAAAGACTTTGTGAGTCTCATGCTCTGACAGGGAGGAGGGGAAGCCGAGAGGAAGCAGAGACAGGACACCTGACCCAAACTAGCCAAAAAGGTACTGCATATCACAGCATGTCATGCTCAGGATGTAGAACTGGGGGCAGTTAACTGGAAGCGCTAGATCACTGCTCCGGTCGGGCTGGGTATCGGTCAGAGGGTGGTGAGCAGTTACATTCTCTTCCCTTGTTATTTCCCTTATCATTATTATTATTGGTGGTAGCAGTAGTGGTTTGTGTTATACCTTAGTTACTAGACTGTTCTTATCTCAATCCGCGGGATTTACATTCCTTCGATTCTCCTCCCCATCCCTACGGGAGCTGGGGGAGGAAACAGGGGTGGGGGGGTGAGAGAGCAGGCTGCGTGTTTTTTTCTGGATTGCCAACTGGGCTTAAACCATGACACATGGTTTTCTTTAAAGGGCCACAGAATCTGCTGCTTCTCCTCAGTCTACTTACAAGTGATCCATCTGAATGGCTGCCCATGCTGCCAGGAAAGAGCAAGCACCAGATCTCTACTGAGCTAGCAATATTTTTACACTATACTTCCCCATCTTTAAAACACCCCTGAAAAGAAACACAAACAATAAAGCCCTCTTGTCCTTTACAGTTTTTTTCCCCAGTAGCTCAGATTTCCTGAAGATCCACTGACTCATTTTGTCTGTCCAGCCTGGACACTTTTATATGCAGTGTATGAACTAGTTTGCCTACTAGTAAAGCAAGCTTGAGCTTTCAGGAATTCAGTAACATAAGACTCTTCCAAACAGAATTTTCACTGATAGGTACTAAAGAGTAACTTGGAAAAGAATTAAAAGGAAATTCAGGTGAACAAAGGCCCATTAAGAAATTTCACATAAATGAACACTAAATTACCATAGCAACAGGATGATATGAATGGATTTTAATCTTATGAAACTTCACTGGATTCCTACATTACTCAGGAGGACTAAGCAAAGTGTTGGAGATGTTTCTAACACTGCCAAACATGACTTTAAAGATGAGTATACTCCTGCCCTGGGTTCAGCTGTAGCAGTCATTTTTTCTCCTGAGTAGCTGGTGCAGTGCTGTGTTTTCAACTTCAGCCTGAGAACAGTGCTGATAACACACTAATGCTTTTAGTTGTTGCTACATAATGTTTACTCTGATCAAGGACTTTCTCAGTCTCATGCTCTGCCAGTGAGGAGGGGCATGGGAAGACGGGAGGAAGCAGAGACAGGACACCTGACCCAAACTAGCCAAAGGGGTATTCCATACCACAGCACATCACGCCCAGTATATAAACTGGAGGGAGTTACCCGGAAGGCCCAGATCACTGTTCGGGTCAGGATGGCTATCAGTCGGCAGGTGGTGAGCAATTGTATTCTCTCCCCTTGTTATTCCCCTTATCATTAAAAATAAAAGCCTACAGCACGTGGGACTCCCAGGCGTTTTCCCATCCAAGTACTAACCAAGCCCGACCCTGCTTAGCTTTTTTTCTTTATCACCAGGTTCTGCACCCAGGCAGCGATATCTTGCCACAGTGCAGCAGCCCAGATGGGTTTACCTCCGCGTTGGCAGTTGCTCTGCTTCCATTGCTGCAACCACCCCCACAAGGCATTTGCCACCATCCATGGTCAGTACAGAGTATGACACATAAGGCACTACTGGTGGCAGTAGTAGTAGTTTTATATTGTACCTTGGTTACCGGACTGTTCTTAACCCGTGGGAGTTACATTCTTTTGATTCTCCTCCCTATCCCTCCGGGAGTGGGGAATAAGGGGGGGAGTGAGCAAGCGGCTGCGTGGTTCTGAGTTACCAGCTAGGCTTAAACCATGACAACTCCTATACTCTCTCAGCAGCACTCAGCACAAATTTTAAGGGCTCTATCATAAACAAAGCTTCTTTGTGGACCTGGTAAATTAGTTTGGATTGAGAACTCTTTGCTGATTTCCAAATTGCCATAACTATGAAAAAAATAGAAAGGGAAATGTCTTTCACACTTTGTATTTGTATAAGAGACAGAGTTGTCTACTTGCTTGACCTGCTGCCCACACTCCTCCCACTATGACCAGGATGACATTTGCCTCAGTTACAATGAGCATGCAATGCTAGTCTGTATTCAGTTCGGTGCCCATGCTCACATTTATACTCTTGTCACTTCAACTTTTGTAATGGTATTTGACAGTTCTTCTGTGTGTCTTTGTGTAAGTCAAGTAAAGCATTACTCCTGGTAAGCCTATCTACCATTTGCATTAGGAAACCTTCTCAAGTACAGCCCTCAAGTTCTTCGATTACTTCCACCAGGCTATGTAGCCATCCCTGCAGATGAACAGATGGCCTAAACCTTCCACGGTCAGAGATATCTCTATAAAGAAGACTACTGTATCATCTACTGTCTTCTTAGTCAGGCAGTCTGTAACAGATATGAAAACATTACCCCTGAAATTCCTCCCTCCTCTGGTCTCCAATTTCATGCTGAAGATCTGTGCAGACAAGGAGCTCCTCAGGATAAGTGACTTTCTCTCTTTATTCTAAACAGCTGATGCATATTCACAACTGCATTCCAGCCACAAAGACTAACCCAAGTCTCCGCATTTCCAGCTCAGTCACAACCCTGTGACTATGCAATGAAACAAACAAGACCTGCAGATTCACAAACTGGGCATTAGTGTGCAGCCACTGAAGAAGAGCATTTGAATGTCTCCCTTCTGAGCAGGAACGTGAAAGATCTCTTTGTAGGCTTCTTCCTCATGTTCCTTCACTTGTGTCCTCGGTTCAGCTGTAACAGTCATTTTTCTCCTCCTTAGCAGATGGTACAGTGCCCTGTTTTTCACTTGAGCTGGGGAGAATAGTCCTACCTGAAGCCTCTGGCAGAAAGCTGCAGGGGAGATTCGAGGTCGGCCCCTCGGCTTTTGGAGTCAGGGATACTGAGTATCTGAGTCCAGCTATACCCCAACTGAAAAAGAGATACTGGTAGTCTATGAAGGGGTTCGAGCTGCTTCAAAAGTGATTGGCACTGAAGCAAAGCTCCTCCTGACAACCCAGTTACCCATGCTGGGCTGGATGTTCAAAGGCAGGGTCTCCTCTACACATCATGCAACTGATGCTACATGGAGTAAATGGGCTGCACTAATTACACAACGAACTCAAATAGGAAATCCCGGTCATCTAGGAATTCTAGAAGTCATCATGGACTGGCCAGAGGGCAAAGATTTTGGAATGTCACCAGAGGAGGAGGTAATGGGTGCTGAAAAGGCCCCACTGCATAATAAACGGTCAGAAAGTAAGAAGCGATATACCTTGTTTACTGATGGGTCCTGACATATTGTGGGAAAGCATCAGAGATGGAAGGCAACTGCATGGAGTCCCTTATAACAGATGACAGAAACTGCTGAAGGAGAAAGTGAATCGAGTCAGTTTGCAGAGGTGAAAGCCATCCAGCTGTGCTTGGACATAGCTGAACGAGAAAAGTGGCCAGTACTTTATACTGACTCATGGATGGTGGCAAATGCCCTGTGGGGGTGGTTGCAACAATGAAAGCAGAACAACTGGCAACACAGAGGTAAACCCATCTGGGCTGCTGCACTGGGGCAAGATATCGCTGCCTGGGTGCAGAACCTGGTGGTGAAGGTATGACATGGAGAAACATCAGAACAACCAACAGGCGGCTAAAGTGGCTAAGATTGAAGTGGCTCAGATGGACTTAGACTGGCAACATAAAGGTGAATTATTTTTGGCCCGGTGGGCTCATGACACTTCAGGCCATCAGGGCAGAGATGCAACAAACAGATGTGCTCGTGATCAAGGGGTGGACTTAACAATGGACACTACTGCCCAGGTTATTCATGACTGTGAAACGTGCTGCAATTAAACAAACTAAACAGTTAAAGCCTCCTTGGTATGGAGGACGATGGCTGAAGTACAAATGGCCTGGCAGACTGACACACACTCCCACCAACCTGCCAAGGCAAGCACCACGTGATAACCATGGTGGAAGCAATCACCGGGTGGCTGGAAACATACACTGTGCCCCATACCACTGCCCAGAACACTATCCTTGGCCTTGAGAAACAGATTTTGTGGCAACATGACACCCCAGAGAGAACTGAGTCAAAAAATGGGACTCATTAGCAGAACAACCTTGTAGACACTTGGGCCAACAAGTATGGCATTGAGTGGGTATATCACATCCCCTACCATGCACCAGCCTCTGGGAAAATCGAACAGTACAAGGGGCTGTTCAAAACTACACTGAGAGCGACTTTCAAACATTAGGATACACATTTACCAAAGGCCACTTGGTTGGTCAACACCAGAGGATCTGCCAACAGGGCTGGCCCAGCCCAGTCAGAAATTTTACATACTGTAGAATAGATAAAGTTCCTGTGGTGTACAGAGAGAATTTGCTGAGGAAGACAGTCTGGGTTATTCATGCTTCAGGTAAAGGCAAACCCACTTGTGGGATTGCTTTTGCTCAGGGACCGGGACATACTTGGTGGGTAATGCGTTAAGATGGGGAAGTCTGATGTGTACCTCAAGGGTATTTGCTTTTAGGGGAAAACAGCCAATGAGCTCAATTATATGCTGTTGCCTGCCTTATAACACTTTTATAGCACAACAGCTGGATGCCCATCTCCACCATTCTGGGCTTTGAAAAGTAGGTATGTGCTGTCATGATCATCAGCAGAGAATAAAGTCATGAGAAAAGCCGGCAGCAGCAGAACTGTCCTTAGATCACCACTGACTGACCCTGACTTCCCTCTGATCACCACCCCAACAAAGAATGAACTTCAATGAAACCAGATGAGCTCAGCAGTGATAAGAAGGGCTTGACAGTGTTGTCAGCAGGCAACAATCCAACACTACACACCATCTCTCCTGCTCTGAAAGACTGTTACAAGAGATGGAGCCTGACATCATGGACTGAATGAACTCAGTGAACTTTATAGGAATGGTCCATGGACTAAGGAATGATATTTCTCTCTTTATGTGTGAGTGTATGTACATATATATATATATATATGAGATAAAAACGCAGTGGTATATGGAAAAATATGAGATCGGACCATTATGTGAAAGGTATGGAATAAGGGGTGAGTACTGTCCTGGGTTCAGCTGTAACAGTTATTTTTCTCCTTCTTAGAATCATAGAATAGTTAGGGTTGGAAAGGACCTTAAGATCATCTAGTTCCAACACCCCTGCCATGGGCAGGGACACCTCACACTAAACCATCTCACCCAAGGCTCTGTCCAACCTGGCCTTGAACTCTGCCAGGGATGGAGCATTCACAACCACCCTGGGCAACCCATTCCAGTCCCAGTTTAAGTTTGAACCCATTACCCCTTGTCCTGTCACTACAGTTCCTAGTGAAGAGTCCTTCTCCAGCATCCTTATAGGCCCCCTTCAGATACTGGAAGCCTGCTATGAGGTCTCCATGCAGCCTTCTCTTCTCCAGGATGAACAGCCCCAACTTTCTCAGCCTGTCTTCATACAGGAGGTGCTCCAGCCTCCTCATCCTCCTCATGGCCCCCCTCTGGACTTGTTCCAACAGTTCCATGTCCTTTTTATGCTGAGGACACCAGAAGTGGACACAATACTCCAAGTGATGTCTCACGAGAGCAGAGTAGAGGGGCAGGATCACATCCTTCGACCTGCTGGTCACACTCCTTTTGATGCAGTCCAGGATATGGTTGGCTTTCTGGGCTGCGAGCGCACACTGCCAGCTCATGTTCATTTGCTCATTGACCAGTACCCCCAAGTCCTTCCCTGCAGGGCTGCTCTGAATCTCTTTTCTCTAAAGTATAGCTGGTGCTCTTCTTAGTAGCTGATGCAGTGCTGTGTTTTTGACTTAAGCCTGAGAACAATGGTGATAACACACCAGTGTTTACTCTGATCAAGGACTTTTCAGCCTCGTGTTCTGCCGGTGAGGGGAGCCATGGGAAGCTGGGAGGAAGCAGAGACAGGACACCTGACCCAAACTAGCCAAAGGGGTATTCCATACCACAGCACATCATGCCCAGTATATAAACTGGGGGGAGTTACCCAGAAGGCCCAGATAGCTGCTCAGGTCAGACTGGGTATTGGTTGGCAGGTGGTGAGCAATTGTATTGTGCATCACTTCTGTTAATTTTTTTTCTTTCCCCTTTTAGTTTTATATTCTCTCCCCTTGTTATTTCCTTTATCATTATTACTATTGGTGGTAGTAGTAGTGGTTTTGTATTATACATTATTTACTGGACTGTTCTTATCTCAACCCATGGGATTTACATTCTTTCGATTCTCCTCCCCATCCCTCCAGGAGCTGGGGGGAAGAAGGGGGGGGAAGTGAGTGAGTGGCTGTGTCCTTCTGAGTTACCGGCTGGGATTAAACCATGACCTGGGCTTTGGTCCCCATCCTCTGAGTAACTTACACTATAGTCCTCAGCACCAGGCTGGCAAGCCTCATCACCAACAACATTCACCCTCTCTGAGTAAGGTGAATTATATCAGTTATCCTTTTCTCCCCTCCAAATGAAGCAGGATGAACAAAGAAGGTAAACACATGCTGGAGAAACCAGCTATGCAGCCAAGGCCCAGATTCCTGACTGCAACTGCTCTATCCAGATCCTTCCCCTTGATCAGAAGGACTGAGGACACCATTCAGTCCTGTGCGATGCTCATCCCTGCCTCAGAGATAGCGACCAGCATCACCTAAACTTTAAGTCATCAAGGTCTATACAGGGAATAGGCTAAATTTGTCAAGTGCAGTTACAGCATTTCACTATCCTAGTTTTTCACGCTTCAACTGTCTATTTAGATAGTTTGTATAACTGTAGTCTAACAGGACATGCATCACAGATTATACATGGCTGCCTTGACATAAAGCTTCCTCCTTTAACTGTGATGTAAATGAGACCACTTGGTACCTGCAAGAGATAGAGTACAGTCTCTACAGCAGAGACTGCAACATCTCCCCCCCACCCCCTTTAAAAACAGAGATTCTAGGCCTATTTGAGATGAACCATTTACCATTCTACTAAAGCATCACTTGGGAAGGAGTCCCCATATCACCCAACACTAAGCAGCCTACCTTGACAGTTGGAAAGCCTTGCTGCGTCCGATCTTTCACTGAGCCTCGGCTGCCTTCAGTCAGATAACGAGCCCTGTGCTGGGTTTCCGGCTGTACCATGATCTTCAGCTCCTTCCCCTCACTCTTAGTTGGATACTGACCACACAACACTGGGGTCTTCTTCCCTCCAGCTCCTTTCTGGTTTTCTGATGCTCTGGGAAGTCAAAGCAAGCCATTAAAAAGATGTTATAAGCAGTTCCTCAATAAAAACAAACTAAATCACAGAAAAAGCTAAAAAGATGAAGAATGTATATTAACAGATAGAAGAGTTATAGTTGAGAGCAAACTTTGGAATTCTCTTTCTGACAGAGAAGGAAACCAGCAGAATGAAGAGGAATGACGCTTCCCTGCCTCCTCCATCAAGTGTAAATAGGAACTGCTTTTCAGAGAGTAAACATGAAGGGAAAAACAATTAGCATTAAACTATGTTAAACAGAAGAAGGCTCACAATCTGCTTTTTCACAGTATTTGATACAGCCTGGTACTGTATGAATAAGCTGTTTCATGTCAGTAACAAACATACATAAGTACATACACACACAGAATGGATTTAAGGTCAAATTATATTTCTTTAAATAGGAAAACAGCCTCATGCCTGTCTCCACCTGAACTTACATATCCATGCAAACTCAAATACTAATTTTTATCAAAACAGACTGATAAATTTATGTTTAAACCAAATTAGTTATTGTAAAAAGCTGTGACATAATTGCACCAATTTGAAATCTGCAGTGTATGCAAAGAGACTGTTTTGTTCCAGGTGCATACCTTAAGATGTATCCTGTGTTCAGTTCCATAATTAAAACCTGAATGAAGAAGCCCTCCAAAGTATAACATTGTGTGATCAATTTTGTGTTCACTTTAAAGCACAATGGAATAACTCTTGATCTTATACAGAGCAGGTTTGTATAATGAAGTCTAATGACCTCATTTAACAGCAGCAAATGTAAACATGTCATGGCAAATAGTACAGGTAGGAAAAGGGCTCTTTACTACCAAAAAAGTAGTTTCTAACAGCTAATGACTCAAGAAAGCAGTTTATATAACAGGTGTGAATTGCTTAAAAAGCAAACCCTGTTTCAATGTGCAACACATGGAAGTAATTTATCCAGGATTTTTAATTCTCATGGAGGGGGGTGAAAGAAATGCTTTTTCTTCAAAATTGTTTACTGAGAGCTTTGCCTCTGCAAGACTTTTTCACTGACCTGAAGGCTGGGGTACCCATAGCGCTCTCATTCCCAATTAACTGATGATTTATACTAACAAACATTATCAGCACCTTTCCTAAAACTCCTACTGTGCAACAAATAACACACAGCCACATGGTATGCAAACATTTCCAAGTCATTCCCCAGCCCCTGCACAGCCTTTCCCACTTTTCATAGCGTGGTTTGGGTTAGAAAGGACCTTTAACCTCATCTAGTTCCAACCCCCTGCTATGGGCAGGGACACTTTCCACTAGACCAGGTTGCTCAAAACTCCTCCCAAGTTGGCCTTGAACACTGCCAGGGATGGGGCAGCCACAGCTTCTCTGGGCAACCTGTGCCAGCACCTCACCACTCTCACAGGGAAGAGTTTCTTCCCAAGATCTCATCTCAATCTCGCCCCTGTCAGTTTAAAACAATTCCCCCTTGTCCTGTCCCTACCTGCCCTTGTAAAAAGTCCCTCTCCAGATTCTTTGTCCACCCCTTTAGGCACTGGAAGCTGCTCTAAGGTCTCCCTGGAACCTCCTCTTCTCCAGGCTGAACAAGCCCAGCTCTCTCAACCTGTCTTTTCTTATGGAAGGGTCTTCTGCTCAAAGAAAGGTCAGGCACTTTGCTCCCTGATTTCACCACATCTCCTACTAAGCATCCAAAACATTTTAATACATGTAACAAAGGGTTAAAATGGACACTGCTGAGCAGCCATGAGCTCTGTGCTTTGTATGAATTTCATTCATGTTTTTCTGTTTGTGAAGGTGAACCACTTCCTCACAAACAGCCCAGCAAAACGGCCTGCTCATCCAGCTGAGTCCAGGACAGATGGCCAGTGCATCCCTGAGCAGCCCTGGCTGCCTTGCACACTCATCCTCAACCAAGTAACAGTAGAGAGGCAGGTTCTAGATTAAAAAAAAACAACAAAAAACAAACAGCATTAAAAAAACCCTGCAAGAGTACTATCTTTCTGCCAAGGAGTCCTGATTACTCTGCCACAGTCTGGTCAAACAAGCTGTTTAAAACAAAGTAAAACACTATGTAAAAACATACTTTCTCTTAGGAAAATGAAAGGAACAAAATTTCTCTTCAGTGTAGCACAGCCAAAACCTGTGATACACTAAATAAACTGTAATTAACAGCACTATGCTCCTCACTTCTGTACAAGTTAAACAAAAACACTAATCAAACTCAAGCTCATTAGATAATCACTCTATTCTTCCTCTCAGGTCATTACTCCAATGGACTACTAATTAAAAGGAATATGTATATGAACTTGCACAGAATATCTTCTCTTTTTCTCCCCCAGAATTTTAAATCACAGAGCTACAACCTCTTGGCTTCCCCCAGGTAACACAAGAAGTCACACTGGGCAACCCCAGCTGCTGCAGGCACCATCACATCCTTCCCAGCACTGTGCCTGGGCCCCATGCTTCCTGCACCTCGTCACAGGAGAATGCTCCACAGAAAGACGTCACACAAGGATTGCTTAGTTTGACCTTGTCACACATGGAAGTTCCTGCTCCCTAAATTAATAGGAGAGACTGAGATATTACTGAATTTCAAAGGAGAGCGTTAAGAGAGGCAGCCATCAAAACAAAATTCACTTTCAACACTCAAAATGCAAAGTTTTAGCAGTGCAACATTAACTTTCGTCTCTCCACCATAACTCTGTTCTCCTGAGAGTACTTTACCCTTAAACTCCAAGTTACTCGAACTGTCAACATACCATTATTTAATACGTTGACAAATTTATGCTGCCTAATCATTATTTTGAAAGTCTTCCCTCTAGAAACCGAAAGTAATCGTTACTTTCAATTAGAATAGCTGAACTTGAAAGCTATTGTAAAGCCTTCACCAGAACTCAGTGGTCTGTCTTCTCAAATTCCAAGGATATATCATTTACACATCCTTTTAATTTAGTTTATTTATAATTCTAATATTTATGCACATACACATAATAAAACATTTCATACACACATTTATTTACTAGTTTAACCATAACCAGACAATGTCTCCTCAAAGCAAGCACTTCTTTTCTAAACAAGAAATACAAGTAGCAAACCCTATGATTCTACTAGAACAAATTTCCTGAGTTAAGGTTTACCTGGTCTTGCACTGGCATCAGGGCTGTTCCCAGTGAAGACCTGAAAGTGAAGATGAGACCAAGCACATGGGAAATCTGAGCCTCTTTGCCCTAAATCACCATTAATTCAACCATTTCTAGAAAGGCTTCCACAAATTCCAACAGTTTCCACAGGAAACTATTCCTAGCTTTTGAAGACCACCAACTAGAAGTGTCTTTTGAGGCAAATGCTATTTCCACTTCACAAATTAGTAAGGCTGCTTTCCTTGCTCTTTTCTTAAAGCCAAAAGTAAACCAACTCCCTTGGCTGAACTCCATAGGGCTGGAAAATTAAAAAAAAACCCAACCAAACCAGTCATTACTGTGACCTAGATTTGCAATGCTAAATCTCCATATTCCAGCTGCAAAATTACATTTTCTAATATCTTGGCCAGCTCTTGCCCCAGAGCTTTTATTCAAAAGGACAATTCTGTTACATAAGAGTTTGCTGCAGTTTCAATCTAGCCTGCATATGACTTGTTGGAAAAAAAGTTATCATCTCCCCCTGAGTTCACAGAGTATTCCTGACAGCAGTGATGAATGTTCACTGGGTAGCCCCTAATATTTTAGGGAACACTACAGTCTTGTGATGCTTTAGATTGAGATCACAGAGTTGGAGACTGGTTTGGGTTGGAAAGAACCTTAAGATCATCTATCTCCAACCCCCTGCCACAGACAGGAACACCTACTAGACCAGGTTGCTCAAGATCCTGTCAAACCTGACCTTGAACACTGCCAGGGATGGAGTATTCATATTGTTCCAGAGTTTACAAAATCTTTCCTCTCTGCCCAGAGATCACATTTACAGTCACAGCTCTTGTTCTCCAACAAAGTTTCTTCCTTTTGTAAGAGAGCACCTGACCCCCTCTGCTCAGTGGAGGCAGTTTCCTCCTGCCAAGCAGCTGCCTTACATACACTAATTTGCTTCTTTGGGTCAACCCTGTACTAAGGTTTTACTTTATTATCAGTGATTTCAGCTGGTGAAAACAAGAGATGCTGGACTGCAGTCAAGCAGTTACAACTAAGGGTTGTTGTAAGGAGACACCAGGAGACCCACTGGTCGGTGGCAGAGCCAACACCCCTGGTACCAGGCAGCTCCATAGGCCCTGATGTGGTACCTGACTGGCAACTCTGGAGAGTTTCTCAGAATCACTTTCTCACAGTGAAATTTTAAGTATGGAACTGCAATGACCCTGGGAATACAGACTCCAGGCTCTTTCCCTTTGGAATATGAGAAGTTCATAATATTTCCCATCAGCCAAATTTTCACATTCACCATTACTGTGATGAACATTAGAACATACTGCAAGCACATAAGAGTAAGAAAACCCAAAATACACCACCCCACCACCAAAAAAAAAAATAAAATCAAAAAGCCAAATCTATTCACTCAACCATCTTAAAAGTACTAAAAAAGCCACAAGTTAAAAATAAAAATGCATCAACACACTACTGTAAACTGATGGACTTTTTCCTCTTTAAGCAACTACTGAAATGCATTTTGTGAACGGTATAAAGTGGAAGAGATGAGAGACCACCACCCAGGCATGCCCACGTACAGACACATGCATGCATATGACCCAGAAGCACAGAGAGAAACAGGATTAGAGATTTATTTCTGAAAAAATCAAAATACAGAAGTGAATTCACAAAAAAAAACCCAAAATATGGTTAACCAGTTCACCATATCATCTTAACAATTAATAAAAAAGTAAAGCATATGTTAACTTCAATGATGAGAAAGCCTAACAAGTCATTCACTTCTACTCCCATCACTCTCTCTATTTGATAAATAGAGGCAAACACAGAAGCAGGTAAAGTGTACAGACTGAAATCCTCACATAAAATCCTGCAAAACCCACTAAGATTTAGGATGCATCTAGTCCATTTCTGCCTTTCTTTTTAAATACATTTTCATTGCCATTCTATAAATGCATTGCACAATATTTGAGGTATTTCACTTAAACAACAATACAGATGAGCTCATCAGCCCTGCATTCAATGGTTGCAGGGAAGTTCACCTTTATCTTCTAAAAGATTACCAAGTCTAATGAGACCTTATCACAGGCTAGGACTCAAAAGGGAACAGCAGAGAAGGGATTTATGTGAGAACCTGAATGGAACACTTGACAGGGCATGGGGAGAGTTTTATTAGTTTGGTTTTACATATGGTGATAGGGAAAAAAAAAAAAAAGGCAGATACCAACCCATTTCCTGCTTTTGAGTTGCCTTTGCTGTCCGTGCTGAGCTGAGAAAGGACATAGTGAGGCGCTTTGGCGCTGTCGGCATCAAATATATCCATGTTGGACTCTTCACAATCTTGACGTTTGATCCCTGGCCTCTGCTTTGGATTTCGTTTGCGTGATTTACGTGGCACCTCAGTGTTATCATTGTAGAAACTGGTACTCATGTTACTGAAGTTGGAGGGTGAATCCTCCATCCACATACTGCAGCTCTGTTCTGACTCCAGTCCACACCCCTCATCCTGGCAGGACATCTGACTGTTGTCCAGCAAGTCCTCAGGTGGTGGCGAGATGTACAGGACTGTGTGTCTCTTCGGCATTGACTGCTGCTGCTGGACTGCATTACTGGTTAACTGCTTTTCACTTACCCCTCTGGTACTTACCTCCACAGCTGAGGAGCAGCTCTCCACTTGCATAGCCTTGCTGTTGGTGACTGAGGTAGAGTAAATGGTAGGACTGGATAAGGTGGTAAAGGAGCTGCAAGCACCGCCCATGGAGGAAGAGGAAGGAGCTGAAGAAGCATCTGCGGTGTATAATTCATAAGTAAATACAAGATACATGGTTCTGTGTGTGCTGGCTATAGCAGTCCCATTGACACAAAGTGATTTATGAACAGATTTCTTTCCCCCAACAAGTATTTGGAATTTGGTAAGTTTTAGAATGAAAATGCTTAAAGCAATACAGCCTAACCAATACAGTACTTTGGAAATGCCCAAATGAGATTTAGTATGAGCCACTGGAATCACCTTTTTTAAAGCTTAATTCATAAAAATGGCTGCAAGAAAACACAGCTTTCATTGCCTTGGCTGGACTAATTATTTGCGTAGAAGCCATTTCATCCAAAATAACGTAAGCCCCAATGCAAAATGCTTATAATCCACATTCAATGCTAATTAAACCATTTATTGTTGGACATTTTTTTATTTTTGAAAAAGACGGGACTGTGTTTAGCCACAAAATATTAAAATAAGTTTCTAACCTATGAAGCAGAGAACTACAGGTCATTTTTAATGCAGACACTCCCTGCTTCAGAGGCAAATCCTGGAATAAAAATATGAGAAAATAAATGAGAAAAGGAGCTGCTGATTATTCCATCATAAATGAGAAACAAAATATAAAATCAAGTGAGGTGGTAGGCAAAATGGAACTGGTATCAGTCACTATGACACAGCTGTTTGTGGGTGAAGTATCTGCATTGGTGACATGCTGATACAAGACAATGTGAAATTTCTGTAATTTGACTCTTTCAGTCAGTGTTTTTTCTCAAAACTTTATCAGCCGAGTCCCTTATGCAGACAGAGAAAGCTTGGAACAGACCTCTGAAAAGTTCATATGAAGCAGGTTATTTTAAAGAACATGACTGTAACTCCTCTGGAGTTCAGACAGATCAATCTTTTTTAGGAACATGAAAGGACAGCTAAATGATTAAAACAAATCCCTGAAATATTTCTGGACACCAACAGAATCGTTTCCACTGAAGAATTTTAGCGAACAAATCAGCTGAAAGCCTAGACTGAAATATTTCAGAGGAAGCAGTATGAACAATCATTAAGTCTTTATTCCTCAGTGAGCTGCAGCTGATTTAAAGAAATTTTATAGTCAGATTTAAGCTACCTGCAGGGGAAAGCTTTCTGTATTTCTGCCCTGCTGACCACACCTTGCACAATAAACCAGAACCACAGAAATAAACTAATTTTTGAAACAAACTGTACATAATATATATACATACTTATCCAATATGTTTGTTCAGCTAGTTACTGGTGTCCTAGGGGTAATATCTATTAAGAGGAACATAATATTTTCCTTCTCCTTGAGTTCTTTTAATCCAAAATATTAATCTCTCAAGTCTAAAAAGTTTAGAGATAGTTGAACTATTTTATCCAGTTTAAGCAATGTAAAAGTAACAGAATAAAGTATGTTCAGCCATCATATATATATATATATATTTAGTGCTAACAGCAAAATGTAGCAAACCTTCCTATAAATCAGCCTACTTGCGATTACCAGGGACATCAATAACTGATGAGAAAGAATTTTTAAACCAGTACTGTTTCTTACAACTTTTCTGTGCTAAATGAATTTAAAAGTAAACTTACACTACTTCAGATTGTCAAATTTAGTGGTTGTTACAGTTTATCCATAACCTGTTCTGCTTTTATTTTCATAGGAAGTCCCTTCCCCAAACCTCTCAGTGAAGCAGGAGCAGGTGAATGATACCAGTTCCATTTTTCAGTTTGTTCTTTGGCAAATATAGTGGCTGAAATTGGGAGAATTCAGTCACTTTGAACTGCATTCCAATTTAAAGGAAAATTTATTCTTTCCATATCATGCATTAATGCAATGATTTTATTTTTTTTTTTCTCCAAAGACACAGGATTGGCAAGAACTATTAAATCTAGATATTAATTTCAGTGACAATATTTAGAAGCCTATTTGCAGCCACTTTGAGTTGAGGAAGACCTTTGCTATTTGGGATGTTTGCTTTGTTAAATATAATTAGTTTCCATTCATGATTTATACACTCAGAAAGAAATAGAAATATGCAGCACGCATACAGCATATATGCTGCATGCAAGCGTTGGCAAACACATGGCACACATGTCAGTAATGCTGCAGAACTGGATTACTGTACAGCAGTATTTCCCTCATTTCAAATTAATTCTTCTTTAAATGGATGAAACTGAGTATCATGCACAGTACAACAGAGTGTATGCACGTCTCATGCTTGCCTGTGCATGAAAAGACTTTGACAAATCAATAATAACATTGAACCAGGTAGCAGGGCTCTCGAATTGGAAGACTTCCTCCAACAGATTAATATCAAAGATTTATCTTTTTGCAGCAAATATGGGGAATGTTTTAGAAAGTTCTTTTAAGAGACCTGCAAGAAAAATTTAAAAGGGACATGGTCTGCATTAGATCAGGTATGTCAAACACTGATCATACCCTGCTGATCAAATGGTTCAATGCATATCCTGCCCAGAAATGCAGCAATTGTACTTTTCCCTCACTTTCCTAGGGAAACCAAACAAATGACTGTTTCCACCATTTTATCTCCTCCGTTTTTTTTTCCCCTAGAAGTTAAAAAGCATGTATGTGCATGAATATGTGTATTTTTCTTTGTACATTTAAAAAAGATATACTAGCCATTATAAATTAGTTATACTCTCCTCCATTTACCAGATACACCCCTGTGTATCTGGTAAGATTAGATTATCAAAACAATATCCAGTTAAACAGTAATAGCAAGAAAACCTCTCTCTTTAGCCTTATATATTCTCGGATGAAAGTCATTACCATCCATAAACATACAAGTGTTTTAAAGCATGTACAGGCCAGTGTCTTCTCTTATAATTAACAGCATGTAACAAAGTATGACAAATATTACAGCCAATGAAATAAACTGGCTATATTAAACTTGTGTATTTGATTGTTCTAAAGTCTATTTTGGGGGATAAATTAGTAATTGCCTTAGTACTATTTTAAGTTATGCAAGTACTGAGAAACATAGTAAAATGTATGTTTTCTCATGGAGGTTGCAGGCCTTTAGTCAATGCATTTTCCTTTGAACTGATAAGTAAAAGGGATCAAAAAGAATTAATGAAGTTACTGTAAAGAATAAACCACTAGATGTTTCATGGGTCCCATTTTGTTTTATCAATTTACTCTAAAACCAGTGGCAACACATGCATATCTGATACCCAAAAGAGATCTCTTGGTTGAATATGCTGCATTTGGAAGGGTTAAAAAAAAATATATATTTTTTTTTATTCTGAAGTTTTCAGTAATTAAAACTTGACCGGCAGTGCTTTAAAAGGGGAGAACTTTTTACATTTCCTGGTTTTGAGGAATTAAGTTTTCCCCAACATGCAGATAACCATCCAAATATAGACAGTGGCTGTTCAGTGTGGAGTGTACCTGTTCAATGATCTCTCAAGTTAGAATGGAAACATACACATCCTTCCCCAGTTCCAGCATTTCTTTTATTTGAGGTTACTTTCTTCAGACACATATAAATGGGAATTGTTACAGGTGGCTCTTTCATTTGCAGCTTAACAGTGCTTGTAACAACAAATATAGTTTAAGTGAGTACATACACTTTGAAATATAAGACTGAATATGTTTTAATACAGCTTCAAAATAAAAATTGCTTTTCAACACTAAACAGAAGCCAAGTGCATGTTATGGCAAGTATGCAGCCACAGTATTAGAAATTAAATGTACACCAGCATCACAAGGTAGGGTTTGGGTTGTTTTCCTTTTTTTAATTGAAAAAAAAGGAGAGAGAAAACTACTTCCACATTAGTGCAAGTTTGATCACTGTTGAAACTAAACCTCCAGAATCCATTCATTGCCATCACAGTAACGTGTAAGGTAGTTGAAATAAGTAATTCAGAATTTGTTGCCCATCCTACAAGCTATTTTTTTCCTCTAGGAGAGGCAGAATGGCATCAAACAGTTCAGTGTAAGGAAGCCCCGGTTCTGGTTTGGACTTAATAATTTGCATCAATAATAAGCAATTCTGTAATGTGTAAATGAAAGAGGGGAAATAACAAAGTGCTTAGTGCTGGAGTTCAGAATGCAAATAAAGACAACCAATTACTCTGTACAACTCCAACGAAGACTACATTTCAAAGAAATTCCAGTTGTTCATGTTATAGAATCATAGAATAGTTACCAGTCATTGTACACTTGCCTCCCAGAAAATCTAAAAAGGTGCCTATTGCTCCCAGTCATTCACTTCACTTTCAGGCAGTGAACAAAATTAAATTCACAACCAAGAGACTGAGTGATTCAGGTTCCTCTGAAAACAAAAAGCAGCCAAAAAAGCAGACAGTGAAAGAATGGATGCAAAACATGTGGCACAAATGCATGCTGCTAAAAGTCACAGGCTAATATAATGTCAGAGACTAAGGGAACACATAGGAAAGAGCATCCCCATGAGCAAATCAGTGTATCTTTCTTTTCAGTAACATAAAGCATTGTACAAAGAAAATGTATTACCTCCTGAGTTAGCAACTAAGGCAATTATATATATTTCTATATACTATTATCGTGTGAAGTCAAACAAGGCATTTAGCTTAAAAAAAAAAAAAAAAGAAAGGTCTGAAAGGCAGGAAAAAAAATTAAAAAAAAAATCACTACTTGGCATTGAAGGAGTTTTATCTTCAGATAACGCTTACATGGAGCCAATCCTGAAATCCTTGTTTGCTCTTTCCAAAGAGATCCTTAAATACAACAAGGATTACCAAGTCCTCCAAAAGAAACAAATAGTGTCCTGATGACTTTTTTTTTCTTAATTGCAGCTGGAGTGCAAAGCAAGTAATTTCCCAGACTAGAAAGCTTAAGATTGTGAACACAAATAAAGTGGAGATATTTTGGGGGTTACAAGTTTTTCAGCCACCTGTGCATGAACAGCCAGGACTAGCAAAAAGCCATTCAAGAACTCACCTCTTCCTCATAGCCTAGCCTGCATCCCGCATAACCCCTATGCTGTGTTCAGAAAATAAGCATCAAGATTGAAAAGTCACCACACACTGTGAAGTTTAGGTGGTATATAAGCTTAATATATGAAGTATAGCCATTTATTAAATTTGTTAATTTATCCAACATGTCATGTTCTAGATAATACTTTTGTATGTTAATGGGCATATTTGAACCACTAGACACAGCAGAACAATTTCAGAACAAAACCAGAGGGTACAATTTGCAAAATTTCCACCATCAGCCCTTGTGTTGCCAAAGGTTTGAAAGGTAAACACCAGAACTTACAAAGTGGCTGCAAACCTGCTTTTAACACTTCACATGCCAAACTTCGGTTTCTACTTTTCTTCTTCTCATATTACTGATGTAATATCAAAAACTTTTCCAAAAAGTTTAGTCTCAAATCAATATCAATCCACTCTTTAGAAAGAAATAAATAAAGATAAAAAGAAAAAAGAAAAAAGAAAGAAAGAAAGAAAGAAAGAAAGAAAGAAAGAAAGAAAGAAAGAAAGAAAGAAAGAAAGAAAGAAAGAAAGAAAGGAGACTTATGAAGAAGTCTGAAAACAAGACCGACCTATACCCTGGGTGAGATTGGATGGGTTAAGTGTCTCTGGCACTATTTTTCTTCACTATTGACAGACACTGTCACAACCCACCACTCGATGCCTGTCTCTGAATGGCGAAGCTAGAATGCAAGTTAAGTGTATTAATAGAGAAAAAAGACTAGCATCCCAGCAAATAAAATAAAGCAATCCAATTCACCAGTTATTAAAAACACTCAGATTTAAGATAGGTAGGTTAATTTAATTTACGTTAAACCCAACAGTGTAAATTCCCCTTACATTCACATGCTGAATGTAGCAGTGTATTATACTTTGGGTAAAGACATCAAACAACCTGGTCTTGTTATAAATTACATCCATTATTAAATTAATGCTCCAGTTTAAGTATTTAATTAGCTTTTGTTAGTGCCGATCACACACCAATTCCATGTATCTTTAGATCTTTCTTCCCCACTCGGAGCAATAACTGGCTGCATCCAAGCAAGTCAGAACTCTAGGACCCACAGCTGCTCTCTTCAAGCTCTACCTGTCATCTCCTCAGCCTCTGCCACCCTAAAAGAGGGACTGTACAACTGTGTCAGGATTGATGGATCTGACAAAGAACACTTCAGCTGAAGAAACACTCTTGTTCTTTAGAGATATGGTTGCATTTTTCATAAGAAATAAGAACTCCTCTTGGCCTTCACAAAGTTGTTGATGCAAGGAGGTGCCCCAACAACAGTACAGTAAGGCTGTTCTCTTTTTGCCCTTCACTGGCTTTGTTTTTCATTATTCATTAAGGAATGGGAAATTCTCTTGTTGCAAAGCAATTCTCAAGCCTTTTCGATGCAAGAATAAGAGCCACTTAATGCAAGAATTTGCCATTAAAAATTATCTCAATGATAGAACAACTTGTGTTTGAACAGTCCTGGAAAGTTGGATTTCCTGACTACATAAGATTCAGGAAGTTTGAAAATAAGCTTCATCTAGGAAAAAGAGATAATCTAGACTAAATCTATATAGCCTTTTACAGGCAATTAAAGGAAGGTCTGCTCCATGCAGAGGAGCAGGTATGCACTCAAGGCACATTGTCCTGGGTTCAACTGTAACAGTAATTTTTCTCCTTCTTAGTAGCTGGTGCAGTGCTGTGTTTTCAACTTTAGTCTGAAAACAATGCTGATAATACACCAATATTTTAGTTGTTGTTAAGTAGTGCTTACCCTGATCAAGGACTTTTCAGTCTCATGCTCTGCCAGTGAGGAGGGAACATGGGAAGCCAGGAGGAAGCAGAGACAGGACACCTGACCCAAACTAGCCAAAGGGGTATTCCATACCACAGCACATCATGCCCAGCATATAAACTGGGGGGATTTACCCGGAAGGCCCAGATCACTGCTCAGGTCAGGCTGGGTATTGGTCGGCAGGTGGTGAGCAATTGTATTGGGCATCACTTGTGGTTTTGTTTTTTTTTTCCTTCCCTTTTTAGTTTTATATTCCCTCCCCTTGTTATTTCCCTTATTATTGTTATTACTAGTGGTAGTAGCAGCAGTAAATTTGTATTATACTTTAGTTATTGGACTGTTCTTATCTCAACCTGTGGGATTTACATTCTTTTGATTCTCCTCCCCATCCCTCCTAGAGTGGGGGAGGGAAGAAGCAGGGGGAGTGAGCAAGCAGCTGCATGGTTCTGAGTTACTGGCTGGGCTTAAACCATGACACATAAAATTATTAAACTTGTTCATATCTGTGTTAGTACTAGCAAGACAGAGCAGCCAGGGCACTGTACCAACATACAGCACCAGGAAGATGCATTTTTAAAGAGCATCTGGTTTGACACACAACTGAAGCAAGCGAGCTGCAGACAGAAATCCCTGAAAGACATACTCCTAGGAAATTACAGGAAGGTATTTCCAACTGGGAGGGTGGTGGGAAGAGGAAGACTACAAAGAAATGGAAATTTTTACAGGCCCTAGAAACCAACTACAAAGAATAATTTTTTTTTCTGATAATTTGTTTACAATATGTACTTATAAACCCAAGATAATAGAATTAGTAGTAGCACTGGCATCCCCTTTGAAATCTCTGGGAATTATTTCTGTATCAACAGGAAAAACTGACTAATTACAACAGGAAGGATGATAAATTGACAAAATATTTTCAATAAAAATTAAAAAGCCTGACTAGCTACTCAGAAAAACAAACCACCCCACATCTTCTATATGAGGCTTTATTAGAAACTTAAGCTTGAGAATGATGCCTTGTATCTTGGCAGTGGAAAACATGACCCATACCCCTCAGCACCCAGCCTCCACCCCACAGAGGATGCAAGTATTTTTATCCATTTCTCTACAGTAGCAATTGAGAAGCAAAGCCTTATTTTCATAAGTTAAATGACCAAAAATTACTATAGCAAGTATTTCAATAACAACTCTGATGATTAAAAAACCCAATTCCACCTGTTTGGGAAAAGTAGTTCATCCCTTTAATTAAAAAGGAGCACAAAATTGACATGACCACAGAAAGTACAGCTACATTGTTTACCAAATATTTTCCCAGGATACAATCATAGATGCTTGAGAGCCAGAAAATATCAATACATCACAGGTTAATTGTATCCAAATATGAAGAATGCAAAAAGAGATCAGTAAAGATATTCCAGTAGCATAAAATCCATTCCCCTTTTGCTGCAGCTCTGGAGATTTCGATTTGAGATAAGAACTGGAAACTGTCAGAATGGAAAAAAAGCAGGAAATACTGTCCTGTGGAGCAATGCAAAAAATATGGAAATATATATATATTTGCCTCTGCGGAAAATGGAGAGCAACTTAAAAGATCAACAGCAAGCTGAAGCAGCTCATCCTGAGATCTGCTACAGAAAGAATGAACAGATGGTAAGCAGAGAAGCAAGTTTCTGTAACAGTTTCCTTCACTGGAGTTTCAATAGGTTTACGGATTCCTGGTACTGGAGATAGAAAGCAAAAATGCAAGACTTGTTTAAAGTACATGGTCAAAAATATTCCTGAATCATCCCCAAAAGACAAGAATGATGTGTTGACCTACCAACAAAATAGATGCCTTTGAGAAAGGGCTTAAATCAGTGTGAATTTTGAGCATTTGAAGCACTTATTCAATGTGTCTTGATCAACAAGAAAAAATTGCTCAACCTTTAAGAACCAACTGGAAAGAATCAAGCATCCCTCCTTGCAACTGGAGCTTAAAAATATTGTGTACAAGGCAATATTAAAGCTTCAGGCACATTGGTTTCATGTAAGAAAACTCCAGGCACAGCTTACAATAACATTTCTCAACCTGACACCCTCATGCATTTCAAGAGTCCAGAAGATTCATATTTAATGTGTTTATGGTACCACACCAGGCAAAATCCTCCTTTTCCTTTCCCCTGAATAGACACTTGTGATTCCAATAGCAAGCACAGAGAACAGTTTCTAGCAGTATTCTAGATCCTTTCCCTCCCTTCTGCTTCCCAAAAAAATAACAGAATTAGAAGCTTGAGATAGCAGCTCAGGTTGTGAACATCGCACCTCAAAATCCTAGAGTTCTGTTAAGTGATACTTGCCTGTTTGATATTCACAGAGTGGGTAATACCTTTTGTCTGGATGAATGAGATGTACATTTATTAACGAATTAATTAAAATCCAATCGGCAATATCCCATTTTAATACCCATAAAACTGGTCTGTAAATCACAAAACAAATTCTCAAATGGAAGAACTAGAAGTCTGCCCCTGCAAGGTCATCACTGCTAAAAACAGCCGATCCTGCTCCTCCAAGAAAAAACAACACAGAAGTTAACTGCAGCAATATTTTCTTTTCACCTACAGGTGATTTATGCGGAAAAAAAACCCAACAGCAAACTGACAGAAAAACCTCAAGGAAGTTGAGAAACTGAACATGAGCCGGCAGCCCAAAAAGCCAAAAGTACCCTGGGCTGCATCAAAAGGAGAGTGACCAGCAGGTCAAAGGAGGTGATCCTGCCCTCTGCTCTTGTGACACCTCACTTGGAGCACTGTGCACATTTCTGGTGTCCTCAACATAAAAAGGACATGGAACTGTTGGAAAAAGTCCAGAGGAGGGCCACAAGGATGATCAGGGGACTGGAGCACCTCCCATATGAAGACAGGCTGAGAAAGTTGGGGCTGTTCAGCCTGGAGAAGAGAAGGCTGCATGGAGACCTCATAGCAGCCTTCCAGTATCTGAAGGGGGGCTACAAGGATGCTGGGGAGGGACTCTTCATTAGGGACTGTAGTGACAGGACAAAGGGTAACGGGTTCAAACAAACAGGGGAAGTTTAGATTAGATATAATGAAGAAGTTCTTTACTGTGAGGGTGGTGAGGCACTGGAACAGGTTGTCCAAGGAAGTTGTGAATGCTTCATCCCTGGCAGAGATCAAGGCCAGGTTGGACAGAGCCTTGGGTGAGATGGTTTAGTGTGAGGTGTCCCTGCCCATGGCAGGGAGGGTTGAACTAGATGATCTTAAGGTCCTTTCCAACCCCAACTATTCTATGATTCTATGAAATTGAGTTTCAGCCAGATACTACCTTATTCTGTGTTTTGGGAAAGAACAAACTGTGTTAACTATTACAGTAGTAAAAAAGCTCTCACCACTTTGGCTCATTCCCTGTAATATAATCCTCTCATTATTGAGAGTAATCATATCTGCAATTAACTTCTACCTACAGCGCTGCTAGCAGCATTTCAAATCAGCCCTTCCTTCAAAAACCAAGAGTAAATGAAATCACCTGCAACACTAAGGAGACTGAACTGTCATTTCCCAAATAAAGTGATGGTTTAAAGCAAGTAAAAGCTGACACAAAAATTTAAAATAAAAAAAAAAAAAAAGAGAGACACACACACAAAACACAGATTTCAAATACAGGCACACAAAGTTGCAAAAGTCATCTCTCCTCCTCACCCTCTCATCTGTACAGTGTCAGATCCTCAAAAATATGCCTATAGTCTGCTACAGACTTGATATATGCAAATGATTAGTCAATCTTGGTCTTTTAAATTTTAAATGTAAAATCTGAATCTGTTTTCCCGTACAAGCATATAGACATGTGCAAAGCCCAGGCTGATTTTCCTCTTATTTTCCTGTTAAGAAATCAGAGCCCAGCCCAGCCAGACTTCTCATTATTACATGAGGCAGGGTGCCAGGGCTTGAAAATGTGGCAGCAACTATTAAAAGACACTGTAACAATCCTGAAACAATTAAAGAAAACAGTAAAATGCAATATGCCCTTTTATCTAGAAATATGGTGCAGCTACAGCAAGAATGTAGCCAAAACACTTGTGTTCTATTCTCTTGAGAAAACAGAGAGATTTAGGTGAGGAACACACAGGTAATCTCAATGAGAAACAAAACACTCCTGGGATTCTGGAAGTCAAGTGAGAACACTGGAGAAGGCTCCTGCTCCAAGGCAGCTGTGCGCTGAAAGTACCAGCATCAGTTCAGAAGTGCTGAGTTCAAAATGGCTTATAGGAGGAATCCAAATTGGCCACTAACACAGCAGGAATTTGTGGGAGGGGAGACTATGACTATAAAACAGTCCACTGAGGTCCACCTCTCCTTGTACCCCAACCTACGACTTTTGTAAACACTGATGTTCCTTCCTCTGTTCCTAGGAGTTTGTCCCCAGCTTTAAAGAGAAAGAAAGTCTGGCCTCAGACTTACCAGAAGGACCTGTCCACCCTTGAGTTATATCTTACATATTATCTATCTCTCTATATATCTTACCTCCCAGCACCAGAGGGAGGAGCAGGGACTGTTCTTTTCAGCTTTCTGCTCTGTCCCTATAGTTTTGAAGCACAGTGTACAGACCTGTTTTGGTAAACATTTATCCAAGATGCATGTGTTTTCTTTCAAGGATGCAGTGGAGGAATGGGGGGGGGGGGGGGGGGGGGGAACCCACACCAAAAAAAAACCACAAAAAACCCACACACAAAACCAAAGACACACACACACACACACACATGTTACACTGAAATTATCTCATAGCATTCACCAGCTGAGTCTACCTCAACACCTATGGAGTTCAGCACCCACTTCCTGATAACAGCCCCAGCTACTTTGGGCTGGGGCTTTGCCTCTCCTTACATGTCCATAGCACAACTCACTACTGAATGACTCTGGTTGCCAGTTACGTGTTTACAGAAGACCAGGATTTCAACTGGTTTTGGCCTCACTGTAATGGGCAGTGACATAAGCAATGAAAACAAAACTAGTCTTGCTCTGTTTGGGTGATTTTGTCTGGCTGGTTAGTTTTCTTTAAACACAATTTTTAACAACTGTAGTTGCTTTTGCTTAATACTTCCGATTTATACAGCAGCCAGGAACTTAACCATCTCGTCACAACACCTATGGAAGGTCACCAAAGTCACAGGTCAGTAAACAATTCAAACTGCACAAGCTGACAGCCACTGAGAGAAGATACCTCCACCTTTTATGCCTGCTCCTCTTCCCTGTATCACTCTTCTCCCTGTACCATTAAAAGCAGTTGTGCAGACCTGCAGTGAACCCACCCATGACAAGTCTAACCTGGAGCAGGTCCTTGATGCAGCACACACATGAAAAGCTCTTCTTTGGGCAGTGGTATCACCTTAAAAGTCTTTGTGAAACTACATGACTGACACTGAAATGCATTCTTAATTGAACGAGGACGTCTCCTTTCTGTGTTAACAAAATATCTCAACACTGTTTAAGTTTTGCATTCAAGAAAATCGTGCTGCAGTTTAACCCAAACACAGCAAATGCATTCTTAGGTTTTTCAAAAGGAACTGTTAAAACTGTTTTTTAAAAGGCTGTTAGCAGACACTAAATACCTGGAGGTAACAGACATTTAGTTCCATTCGAGTTTTCAAGTCTTTTCTGTTAGATTCAGAATCAATTACAGTTCATGTCTATCTGTGGATTTAGAGTGTATCAGGGTTTGTGGGATTGTTTTTTGTTATTCGCTTATTTTTACAATACATGTTTCTACAGGATTTGGTTGCCGCTGTGTCTTTGAACCAAACCGATCATTAAGTATCTTGATTTTAGAGATACATGCCCAAATTATTTTTCTATTGCTTATTAAAAATAACAAATCCTTTCAATATAATAAATAAACCCATCAAATTCTTTCAATGACAGAAGTTCCACTGTGCACAGTTAAATCCACAGGTTCTCTCAGAAGAGGTCTGGCAAAACATGAATGGTGAGCAGTGCTGTAAAGTTTCTCTGACAAGTCTACAATCTCTTCAGTTTCTGATCAGGATTCCTGTACCATGCAAACCTGGGAAACATTCTCACACAAACATTTAATGCATATGAACTCATAGAAAAAAAAAGCTTAAATACATACATTTTTCTCAAGAAATAATTTAAGGCCAATTAGGAAAGCAGAACATGACCTTGTAAGAAATATGGGGATCCAATTACGCAAAAAAATCCTTATCCAATGAAGATGCATCTACCATGAGCATAATGATTTTTTCCTCATTGCACAGATGTTTACAAGTTACAGATATATACAAGTTACTGACAAGGACTCCAGATGCAAACCAGCACTAAGGCTAACTTCACAGAAGAGAGCTTTGTCCTTAAATCCTCATTTTTTATGTTTAGTAAAAAACAATGACAGCATCTTTAGACTAAAGTCTAAAACATGACTGGGAGTAAGATAAAGAGGAAGATACAAAGATCATGCTCCATTTTTATATGCTGTCAATTAGAAAAAATAACTAATATAAACTTAGCAGTTTAGAGAAGTGCCATCCTGACATATATTCTATTCTCATGTATTTGAGAATTTTGTAATATGTGAATGGAGTTTAAATACTAAGCTTCCTCAGGCCTCTTAAAGGAAAACATGACCTTTCTTCCTCCTTACAGTCTAGCAAAAGCTTCATGGCCCAAAATATAATCTTCCATTCCATTTTTTTATCCTAGCTAGGATTTGCTGGTTTACAGCCAGTAGGCATTCTCCCTTAGTTCCAAGCAGGTATTTATTACCTCTTAAGACAGAGAGCATTCTAGGAGTTTGTTATGCCTGTGCTGCATAATAACAAAACAGCAAAACAAGTAACTTATTTCTTATGAAGATATGCATACACACATTAAATACAGCAACCGTTAACATACAATACCTGATAATTTAGATCACCCAGTTTAATTTATATTAGCTTAATTCTCCTAGAATGAACTCTGTTACTTCTCCGCAAGCTCTTTTTTACAATCTAAACTTTGCCAACACTGTTCATGTTGGCCAGAACACTGCCAGCCTTAACAAAGCAAACGAAAAAGCTTACCAGCAGCAACTACAGCTGGAGGTGGCGAGCTTGCCTCACCACCACTTGTTTGGCTCATGGATGCTATAGATGTTTCTGTGGAAGGTGGTAACTGCAGCTCCTTTGGGAGAAGGTCATAGACAGATTCTGTTAAACAAAAAAGGATTTAATCAAGAATTTACTCATGATCTGCAAGAAAAAAGAAATAACATTTTTGCCTGAGATACAAACGATAAACCAGCCTTTCCATAACCTTTTGAAAAGGTCACATTAAGCACTTGGAATTCTTTACATCACGAAATAAACCTATTTCAAAAAACAAACCAACCACAAAAACGGTAAGATACACATTCTCAAAACTGAAACAAAAGGACACAAACATCTTAAAAAAAAAAATAATTCAGGAAATTCCACAGAAAAAATCCTCATTTAGAATGAAGGGGTTGACAGCTCTCCTGGGTTTAGCAGTAGCAGTCAATTTTTCACCTTTTTCGTAGCTGGTGCAGCGCTGTATTTTGACTTTCACCCTGGGAACAGAGCTGAACGACAGTTCTTTTTGGCGCCCAATGTGGGGCACGAGGCGTTGAGATAACGACAGATCTGACCGGAGTGTGTCTAATCATATTTGTGATAAGCATTCATTGTTTTAGATTAATAGTCACCCGTCAAAATGCTGATTTATTAACTCTCAAAGTTGTTCCTCTTGATCTCACAGTATCAGTATACCGTACCTTACTTAGAGGCACTTTTTTTCCCAAGTCGTTCACCCTGCTCTGCAGCGGCTACAAATGCCTGCTTCTGCAACAGCACTTCTGCTTTTACCTTTTCTAACTCTGTAAATCTGCTACTTGTTGCTCCAACTCTATGTTCTTATCTACCATGCCTTTGTAGGCAAACAGCCTGCCATGCGTCCAGCATGACTCAGTCACTCCTTTGAGCGAATATGGGGGTGTTGTACAAACTCACCCCAATACTTTAACACTCCCCTGGGGTCCTTGGCTCCCCACAGTTCAGGTCCTACATAAATCCAAGTTTCTATTTGTCCTGGGTTCAGCAGTAGCAGTCATGGGTTTTTTTTCCTTTGTGGTAGCTGGTACAGTGCTGTGTTTTGACTTCCAGCCTGAGAACAGTGTTGGTGAAGTCGGTGTTTCAAGTTGTTGCTAAGTGATGTTTACCCTGACCAAGGACTTTGTGAGGCTCATGCTCTGCCAGGGAGGAGGGGAAGCCGGGAGGAAGCAGAGACGGGGCACCTGACCCAGGCTAGCCAGGGAGGTATTCCATACCACAGCACGTCATGCCCGGGGTGGGGGGTGACTGGGAGTTACCCGGAAGGACACGGGCTTCCGGGTGGAACTCGTTTTCTTGGCCGGTGGTATCGTATTCTCTTCCCTTGTTATTTTCCCTTATCATTGTTGTAGTTGATAGTAGGGGTGGTGATTTGTGTACATTGGTTGATGGACTGTTCTTGTCTCAACCCGTGGGAGTTGCACTTTTTTTCGATCCTCCTCCCCGTTCTTCCGGGAGTAGGGGAGAACCCCGGTGGGGGGGGGACACGGACCTCGATTGTTGTCAGCTCGGCACCACTCACTGGGAGTGAGTGAAAAAGTTACCTGAGTGGGTTTACACCACGACACTATTTTACCCCACAATGTGCTCCACGGTCTGTGTCCACCCCAGTCGCTCCACAGGAGGAGCCACAGCAAGAGGCTGTTTCTTACGAAACATAGTGATCGTATATTGCACAAAAACTTCAACGTGACCACAACAGAAATACACTGGCCTTAACACACCGCTCAACAGGTGTCGTCCTGAGACACTGCAGACAAAAAGGAATAAGGGTCCTACCGAACAGCACTTCCCTATGGCCTAAGGCCACATCACCCTGAAAACGCCCAATCTCGTCTGATCTCGGAAGTTAAGCAGAGTCGGGTTTGGGCCTTGTCTAGGGTTAGACGACGATATAGAAGGACAAAGAGATTTTCCCTGAGGCTGGACAGTCATGAGTGGCAGGGTGTGTGGGATAGTATGAGCAAGTATCTAGGCCAGTGGGCCTCTCCAGTGGTTTGGAACTTCACCACTGAACAAGCACAAAATCCAGAAAAATTAGTAAAACATTTAAATGAGGTGTGTTGTCATCCCGGTCATACCAGAGAGGGACAGATCGTGGCAATGTGCTGGGGCTTGGCCTATGCTTACAGAGCCCTGATCATCCATATCCAGCACCTTCAAAGGGAAAAAAATGTCTCTGGATCTGATGGCAAAGCAACTGACCATGCAGCTACTCATACTCCTACTGCAACAGATAACGCAGCTACTCCAACTCCAAGTACAGCTGCTACACCAGCCCCAGCGACAAGTACAGCAGCTACTCAAACTCTGACCACAACAGACAGCGCAGGTACTCCAGCTCCAAGCACAGCAGCTACACCAGCCCAAGTGACAAGTACAGCAGCTACCCAAACCCTGACAACAGATACTGCAGCCACTCCAACCACAGTGATAAGCACTGCAGCTAAACCAGAGGACCAACTTGTGCCAATATCGATTGGCCCTGTACGCAAGGGGAAAAACAAAAAAGAGGCAAGAAAGATGAAGTAAGATGAAGAAACAATGTACTCACCACCCGAGACAGCATCTGACCAGGAGTTCTTAATACATGAATCAGAGGAAGAAGAGGTGTCTTCTCGACCTTGGACCTCAACCGAGCTACAGAACATGCGAAAAGATTTTACCCGTCAACCAGGGGAGCACATCATCACCTGGTTACTCCGATGCTGGGACAATGGGGCCGATGGTCACGAACTAGAAGGTACAGAAGCCAAGCAGCTGGGATCACTTGCTAGAGAAGGGGGAATTGACAAAGCAATTGCAAGAGAGAAAAAGTCCCTCAGTCTTTGGAGGTGGCTCTTGGCAGCTGTGAAAGAAAGGTTTCCATACAAGGATGATGTTATGAGTCATTTCGGCCAAGTGGTCTACTCTAGAGAAACGCATCCAGTCTCTGAGGGAATCAGCCATCGTAGAGATGATCTATCACAGGCTGGATGCCGGGAAAGGACCCACAGATCCAGATGAAGTTGAATGTACACGACTCATGTGGAGGAAATTTACACGGAATGCACCGTCATCATATGCCCACTCATTGGCAGCAATAACCTAGAATGAAATAGTACCACCAAGAGTGGATGAAATGATTCATCAGCTCTGACAGTTCAAAGACAATCCCACCCCTTCCATCATTTCAGCTGTGGAAAAACTGTCTCAGGAGTTCAAACAACTGAGAGATGACCTATCCGATCTATCCAGCTCCCCATGTGTACCAGCCCACGTCTCAGCTATTAACGAAAGGTGTCCTACTGCAGGAGAGAAGCTATAGGAGGTGTACGCCACGTGCCACCCTATGGTTTTACCTGTGACATCACGGAGAAGACATGAGGAAGTGGGATGGAAAACCTGCCTCACCTCTGGAGGAATGGGTGCGTGAATTGAAGAGGGGAAAAAGATCAAGGATGATCATCCCATGAAAGCTGCGGCTTCAGTCTCTGGAGAGCAGGCTCCCAGAAGGAGTGGAAGAGCTGATTTTACTCCAGCTCCTGTGATAAAGACTAATCCCTGTCAAGAAGACTTAAGTGGCCAATGTTGTGATCACTATTAGAGGGGCCCTGCCTCCAGCCTGGTGGAGGTAGGGGACAATCGGATTTACAGGACTGTGTGGTTCAGGTGGCCTGGCACATCAATCCCACAGAAGTATAAGACTCTAGTAGATTCCGGTGCACAGTGTACCCTGATGCCATCAAGCTGTCAAGGGGTGGAACCCATTTATATTTATGGAGTGTCAGGAGGATCCCATCAAAATGCTGATTTATTGGCTCTCAAAGTTGTTCCTCTTGATCTCACAGTTTCAGTATACCATACCTTACTTAGAGCTGGTATTTGCTGTGTTACTGTTTTTCAAGTGTGGGGCTTGAGCTAAGGTTCTCGTCTCATTGTACTTTATGGTAATGGCTTGTAATACAATAGAATCATTGATCATGAAACTGATCTGGCTTATGTTCACAGCGTGGTCACCACCTTTATACTTTGAGAGGTATATAATAAAAGTGCTTAGCAATTACACATCTTTTTTCTCCTCCTCAGGTGGTCAACCTGTGAAGGAGACATTCTTTTACCCCCCCCCAGTCCCGTCCGTCCCCCCAGACTGTTTACAGCATCATTTGAGAGTTTTGAAGTTTTAGAATGGCCTTTTAATAATGTTGAGACCTGTTTGCTGATTGTGATGGGGATCACCACGTTGGCACGCATACAGAGTGTGTTTTGCCCACGACCATTTCGTCTGATTTCAACAGTTAAGCAGAGTCAGGTTTGGGTCTTGTCTGGGGTTAAACAACGATATAGGAGGACCAAGAGATTTTCACAGAGGCTGGACAGCTATGAGTGGCAGGGTGTGTGGGATAGTATGGGCAAGTATCTAGGTCAGTGGGCCACTCGAGTACTTTGGAATTTCGCCACCGAACAACTGCAAAATCCAGAAGAATTAGTAAAACACTTAAATGAGGTGTGCGGTCATTCTGGCCATACCAGAGATGGACAAATCATGGCAACGTGCTGGGGCTTGGCCTATGCTTACAGGGCCCTGATCAACACTATCCAGCACCTTCAAAAGGAAAAAAATGTCCCTGGATCTGAGGGCAAAGCAACAGTCAGCGCAGCTACTCCAGCTCCAAGCACTGCAGCTACACCACCCCCAGTGACAACTACAGTCTCTACCCAAACTTTGGCTGCAATGGACAGCGCAGCTACCCCAGCTCCAAGCACAGCAGCTACACCAGCCCCAGAGACAAGTACAGTCGCTACTCAAACCACAGTGATAATCACTGCAGCTAAACCAGAGGACCACTTTGTACCAATATCGTTTGGCCCTGTATGCAAGAGAAAAAGCAAAAAAGAGGCAAGAAGGGTGAAGCGAGATGAAGAAACAATGTATTCACCACCCGGGCCAGCATTTGCTCAGGAGTCATCATCACATGAGGAAGAAAAAGAAGAGGTGACTTCTCGACCTCGGACCTCAACCGAGCTATGGAATATGCGAAAAGATTTTACCCATCAACCAGGGGAGCACATCATCACCTGGTTGCTCCGATGCTGGGACAATGGGGCCGATGGTCATGAA